TGAACTTAGTCATGGGTGAACTTAGTCATGGGTGAACTTAGTCATGGGTGAACTCAGTCATGGGTGAACTCAGTCATGGGTGAACTTAGTCGTCGTTGAATTTACAATTCAAATTGATGTATATTTACAAAATGGTGCTATACGCAAAGTAAGCAGATAGAATATTCAGTCAGTAACTACTGCACAATGAATGCTTCAGCAAGGCACAAGAACACACAGGATGGTTCAGTCACAGACCAGATGGCTCAATTAGTTGAATACTACCAGTAAGTTTTAAAATCAATAGAATTCCAACTGCCTCAATGCAGTTCAGCTTTTATTAACACGTTTTTCTTAGCTTAGCTTCGCGTTTGTTTGTTTGTTAGGTTAGCTTCGCGTTTGTTTGTTTGTTTGTTGTTAACATTGACAACGAAAATTAGCCCACTTCTGATTGTTCTAGAGATCTGAAATTCGGCATGCAGGCTATTTTCGCCTAACAATTTCAGATACAATCATAAAAATTAGTAATTAGATACCTAAATTATTTTAATTGAGTAAAGTATATATATAGTATTTATATAGTATGACGTGCGGGCGCTCACGTTATAGACGAGCAGGCGCTAACGCTGCGTATCATCGATACGTACGTCAAGTCATACTTAATCAAGTCTTAATCGTTTTTCTTGTGGACAAAAAAGTAGAAAATAAAATACTTAAAAAAAAACTTTTTAAAAAACCACGTTTTTCTTGTGGACTAAAAAGTAGAAAATAAATTATGGTTCGCCCCAAAAAAACGTGGATCGGGCTGTACGTTCACCATCAAATTTCCAAAATTTAAGTGTTGTGTGCTTTTCGCTTTAATCATAAATCTGCCCGACACACGTTTTTTTGGGGTGAACTATAATTTATTTTCTACTTTTTAGTACACAAGAAAAACGTGGTTTTTTAAAAAGGTTTTTTTTTAAGTATTTTATTAAGGCTACTGTTCTAACAAAGAAAACAAAATGGATTAAATTATTAGCTGTCTGAAATAAAAATTCATCAGTCAATCATACAGGCCAACAGACAAGCTTTTACTTAGCAGATTTGTTGAAGGACATAAGGAAACTTGAATTTCATTCTACATGTAAATTCATAAAGTTTTTTACACATTATTAAAAAGGAAAAAAACTTGCACATCATCTCATGAATTTCATTTATTCTATCATTTTGATAATAATTTTATCAAATGATAAATATGAACATCAAAAATTTTGTTAAGCACTATGCAAATAATTTCACTACGATCACCTCCATACACACTATTTGTCTGTAGATAATAGGCTTCAAAGTTTTTATTCCTTAAGATACCATTGTGAACAATACTCACTGGCAAATTCAAGCTTTCTCAAAAGAAAAGCAACTAAAATGAATATCGTTAGTCATTAAGCAGCAAACTATACCCACCATGATGCCTTGGCCAGGGCAGTATTCATTCACCAGGACATGGTTGGCATCCATGCCCCCAAAGATGCCCAGGCCTGACACTCTGGTGGTGACGAGCTCTTGCAACCACTGCCCAGAGATGATAAGGTCATCACACATTTTTAATTCAACCATTACAAACTTTTCTTAGTGACTGGAACAAGTTATAGAAAAAAATACAACTCAGTACTCACTACAGTGAGTGACAGAGCGCATTTTCTCGTCGACGAAAACTTGAGGTCACGGAGAGACGGACAGACAGACGGACATGGCGAGCACAATAGTGCATTTTTTCCATAAATGAGAAAATGCGCTAAGAAAGAATTTATAGAATATAATTCTACATGACATTAAAATTAAAAAATAAAATAAACAGTGGACTTCTCCCACACTGCAAGGAAATCAATCCAAGTCCTTCAAGAGATGATGATGAATACAAGTACAAGCCCATACTGAGATACAAGTACTTTGAATTCTCAGTATGGGCACAATGGTTCTTCCACACCTGTTGTAAAAGAACAAATTCGCCATTTTGTGAGCTTAAAATGAAACATTTTAAGACATTTAACATGTCTCAAGACAACATTGCATATATGAAATGGCATCATCTCTCCTTCAATGCTTTTACAGAACATTTATTGCACAGAAAACATGAAAGAAGTAAAATAAAAATAAATTATTGCCTGCAATTAAATATCAACACCATGTATACCTATATATGACAGCATTCCATAAGCATGCTTAGAATAGCATGGTTATCACTAACCTGAGGCATATGTTCAGGCACCATGCCCTTCTCATGTGGTTTGCCTCCCCAGTTCTGGAGACGTCTGTGGCTCAACACTGTCCACTTAGGCTTTGGAGCCGCATATACTCCCTGCCACAATTTAGACTCCTCATCTTGTGTCAGGAAATTACTCAGGTAGTACACAGCCTTTGGGGCCTGTTGTTGCAATGAAAAGTAATAATTAATCATGTGTTTATATTATTAACCATACTTGACTTGAAAATTAACCTGCAGGCTGTATGTCTATTCACCAGTTGATTATATAGAAAACAATGCCAGAAAATTTGAATTCTTATTTGATCTTACAACTTCATAAGTTCATGATAGAACAGATAGAGGCATTTCTCTCAAAATATATTGTCAATTTTAGGATAAAAATATTAGTTAATACGTATCAGTTATGACAACCAAACATATGAAACAATAAACATAATTAAGATTCACAAAAAAACAGTCAGCACTGAGCATAATGTTTCAGGGGAATGGGATGGCTGGAGCAGTATTCTATTCTCATTAATCCAAAAACAATTATGCTGAACAAAACTTTTGGGAAAATTTAAATAAACTTTGGAGACAAATTTGAGAGATTTCTGGAAGACTTTAGGAATAATATAGCAACTTCAAGTCATCCCTTAATAAAAATGTTTATGTAACATAATTATAATATAACTGATTAAAAGAGGTTTCTTAATAGCAGCACTAGCATGGTGACATGGTCAATAATTTTTCAAATTATACAAAAAATTCAACCATTCTCACCTGAGTGACTTCATATGGAGTAAGATCCTGATCATCCATCTTACTATCTAATAAATCCATTAAGTATTGAACTGTGCCCTGTAATGAATTTTCCTATAAATGATAGAAACTAAAAATCCACAGACCACTTGGCATATGAAAAATCCAAGCTTTTGCCAGTACTAAGCAATCCCTGGGGCTCCGGGGCTGGAGCCTGGACTGAGTGGACTCTAAGAGTCTAGGCCTAGGGCCCTAGGATGTCGCCGCGCACAGACAAGTAACCGCAAGCTGTGCGCATGGCCACGCTACAGCAAGCAACTGTGGCCTAGACCATAGGCAGATAGGCTAATAGCTACCCCTAGTCCCCTACCCTTGGGCCTTGAAGGCTTGAGATAGTATATATACGGTAATGGCAGGCACTGGCAGATATTAAGAATAGTCCTATATGGCTATAGCCTATAGGAGCTCAACTGCTCAAGGCATAGTGGCGAAGCAGAGGCGGGAGGCCAGAGAGTTTTTACACTCTATCTCAACTTAAATTTTGAGTCCTAGCCAATAATAAAGAGACCAATAATGTATCAGAAATCATGTTCATGGATACCAGCATGGCAGGCAGCTTTATCTGATTATCATACATACATAAGATTTTGGTTTAAAATGTCCAATATTGAGTAAATAAGAGAATAAAAAATGAACAGATTCTAAAAAATCTCTGGTCTGCCACTATGCAAGACTCAATGATACGGTATGTCTTATATGCCATATTGTGCCTGCTGCCAGGCTATTTAGGCTAAGCCAGCTGACTGAGCTAAGCCTAAGGGTACGTACACAGTGAAAGCCGGTTGCCAGCGTGCTGGTTACCTGCTGAGGCTGGCGCCTGAAACAAGCGCGAGAGGTTCACAGAGGAAGCAGGTTGCCTGCGTGCTGGTTACCTGCTGAGGCTGGCGCCTGAAACAAGCGCGAGAGGTTGTTCACAGTGGAAGCAGGAAACATGCTTGTGCATTCCCTATAACGATTGATAAAATCTCTCAATAATATTTTTTTTCTAACCAACGTTTCTGACGAATAGTTTTATTAAATTTGCAGGTATTAGTCTGTTTTTGAACGATAGAATTTCTGGTATATTTCTAGTATTTTGAGCTAGGCAATCTGGTATTCTCACCAAGAAAAAACCTGGCAACACTGGTCACCCAGACTGTGGCAGACTGGCAGTGGTAGACTGAGTCCAGGTTGCAACCGGGCCGGCGACCGGGCGACGGCAGGCACTGCCAGTGTCAGGCAGATCGTGATTACGAGATAAATGGCAGGAACATCAGTTTTCAATATATGAACTCGTTGAACAGTAATATTTAGAAGTATAAATCGAATTTACTGTCTGCTAAGAGAAACCGTGCATAATCACCACTATAGCACTTGACTGACTTACTAAAGTACCTGTGACTTACTAAAGTACCTATGCAATAGTACATCACGGTCTACGACAGGCAACTTAATACGTGGAGACTGGGTGGAGTTGCAAGAGGCACGTGGATTTGCACGTGCGTGGTGAGAATTACGTAGTGTTACGAGAGGCACGTGGAGTTGCAACTTGAGTTATGATGAACGTTGTTACAGGGCACGTGGAGTTGCACGTTGTTATGATGAACGTTCTTACAGGGCACGTGGAGTTGCACGTTGAGTTGTGATGAACGTTGTTACAACTTACAGGGGGGGACGACTGTCGGAGACCACCACTGCCATGCTTCGAATGGACTATCATGATCCCTTCCCTGAAGAACGTAGCCTACAACACTTCTTGACTGTAACATTATCAGCCGTAAGCCACCAGACAGATCACGTCCATTGAATTAGATCAATCAGCCCACAGGAAAATAAGGCTGACGTCGTATGGCCCAGTATCGTCTGCCAACACGCGAAAAAATTTTTCACCACCTGGACGGAGCGTGCCGGAGCCGTCCGTATCTGTCCCGTGTGTCGAATCAGCCTACGGTCGAACGGCTACGCGTCGTACGACTATAAATTTTGAAACAGAACTATGCTATCTGGAACCTAACCTCAGATGCTGTGAACTAAAAGTTACGTAATTTAGCGAATGTGCGGAAGTCGCTCGTCGAAAGACGATAGATTTTGGAAGAGGACTATGCTATCTGAAACTGAACCCCGGATGTTGTGAGCTAAAAGTAACCGTCTGGTGGTGCACGGAAGGATGCATGCAGTTCCACTGGCTACCTGGGCTGGTTGGTCGCAGTCCGTTGTCCGCAAGTTACAGTTCGAGCTAAAATCAGGGTATGAAGTGATGATTCGATGCAACGTTCAGTGGTGGACAACCATTACTATCTGGGCTATTCGCTTCAGAATATGGTGGCGTAAAGTTCCTAATATTCAAAGCAAGATGATGTCACGGGCTGGTTACCGACAGATGGTTTCATCCGTGGCTGATTGGTGGTCATCCGGAAATACGCTAGGCGTTCTTTTCAGGACTGATTGGCGCACAAATTTGGTGGTGCACGGCTGCGTACCCGTTACAGGGCACGTGGAGTTGCACGTTGTTACGATGAACGTTGTTACAGGGGCAGGTGGAGTTGCACGTTGTTGTGATGAACGTTGTTGTGATGAACGTTGTTACAGGGGCAGCAATGTGTGCTTCGTAGGTGCTGACGTGATGTTGCAAGGAGCACGCAGCCGTGCACCACCAAATTTGTGCACCAATCAGCCTTGAAAGGAACGCCTAGCATATTTCCGGATGACCACCAATCAGCCGCGGATTAAGCCACCCTCGGTAACCAGCTAGTGACATCATCTTGCTTTAAATATTGGGAGCTTTACGCCATCACATTCTGAAGCGAATAGCCCAAAAGAGTAATGGTTGTCCACCACTGAACGTTGCATCGAATCATCACTTCATACCCTGACTTTAGCTCGAACTGTAACTTGCGGACAACGGACTGCGACCAACCAGCCCAGGTCGCCCGTGGAACTGCAGGGAGCGCAGCCGTGCACCACCCATTTTGTGCACCAATAAGCCCTGAATCGAACGCCTTGGATCTCTCCGGACATCCACCAACAGGCAATGAACCACTCGGCTTTGTCTTCCTCCGGCCTCGTATAGAACCTGCCGTGCACCACATGGCCGCGGATCGAATCTGAATTCCGGGCATCGTTAAATTACGTAATTTTACGTTCACAGCATCTGAGGTTAGGTTTCAGATAGCATAGTTCTGTTCCAAAATTTATCGTCCTTCGACAAGTGGCCGTTCGACCATGGGCTGGTTCGACCCACTGCCTAGATACGGACGGCTTGAAGTGTTGAAGGCTACGTTCCGGAAGGCAGGAATCATGTCTGTCTATTACATCCAGGGCAGTGGTTGTCTTCAGCAGGCGACCCGGAGTTCTGCATCCTGCTCTGCACCACCAGACGGTCACTTTTAGCTCACAACATCTGGGGTTAGGTTTCAGAGAGCATAGTTCTGTTCCAAAATCTATCGTCCTTCGACGAGCAACATCCGCAGCTTCGCTAAATTACGTAATTTTTTCTCGTCACTGAACACCAAGTTGGGCAGCGTGCCATCCTCAATGAGATCCAGAATGTGCTGGCACCTTTCGAGCCTCATTCGTTCATGACGGTCTGTTAATTCATGCCTTGTTTGCATCTTGTAAGGGGAGGTTTTGAGGTCATCTTTGAGGACTCTACGCATTGATGTCTGACTGACTCCTGCTTCTGCAGTGACTGACTCCTGCTTCTGCAGCCAATTTTGCAGCTGAGCGACGAGAGTTACTCCTCAACTTCTCCCTCGTGTTTTTGACCATTGGTTTTGTTCGCACACTTTGTTTCCTTCCTTGACCAGGTAGATTGCGTGTTTTACCAGTTTCCTTGAATTTTTTATCACCTTCTACACAGTTTCACGACGAATTTGGAGCTTTTTTGCAATGACTGGATTACTCTCCCCCTTTTCATGAAGGGTTACAATTGCATTTCATCTACTGCCATAAGTAATAGTAAATTTAGACACCTTAGACTTCTGCAATATATAATAGACGAATTAAGAGATGATATTAAGCTTCATTATGAAAGAAAAGTCTCCTAGAAACCAATTTATTTTTATATAGCAAACATCCGTTGCCATAAATATGGCGGACCCTGTATTAACGACACACAGGAAGGATGATGTAAAAAAAACATGGTTACTCTCACTGGACGTACGGAAGTTTAATCGGAAATTAAATGACAAATAAAAATGCGGAACTGCTGCATTTTTCATTTACAAGATACATAAAAGAAAAATCACACCTACGTGGTAATGCCTGATTGCTAGAGTAAATGTCATGGACCTGTTATGCAAGCTCTTATAACATTTTAGTCAGAAATCTTCATATGATTGTGTATTCTTTTTTTAATTGCTTCCAAGACTTTGGGTATGAAGAATGTGTATTGACATTTACGTGATGGATTATATAGTAATCAAGCTCGGCTATGAGCTGAAGAAAGAATTGTTAAATAATTTATTAAAGGATTTAACCTCCTATGACATATTAAAGCACTCCCGATAATAAATAAATACACCATCGCTGACAACACCAGCAATAGTTAGAAAAGTGTTGGCTATATTGTCATTGACGCTGTGAATGGGTGGCATGAGCAGAGCAAAACCATCGATGTCGTAGCGTCTGGCAATCGTCAACAACGGATTGAAGGTCCTCCACCCACGAATTTCATTTGGTTGAGCTTTATCCACCTGAAATTATTAGAATTGGACTCCATTTAGTTGAGATTTTACACCTGAAACGGTAAGAACCGTACCCTGTTTGGGTAAGCTTTCAGCACTCAAACGATTAGAATTGGATCCCATGAAAGCGACATGGCAAGAAAACGGTGCCATAAATTAGTAACTTAGGGACAATTACTTTGTGATGAAAAGAACTGGATGATGTAAAGCTGACACGACTTTAATAAGGTGAAAATTAATACCGGAATTCAGATAGCACAGCTGTAACAAAACCTATATGACATGTACTACGTGAACGTAATTCCGGGTAATTTCCCATATATCGGTTGCTGGTACATGAGCAAAACGTGACGAAAATCACACACCATAATGATGTAACCGGACCATTGTATCATCATTTGAAGATGAAAACTACGTAAAATACAGCTGAGTCAGGAAAACCTATTTGATCAGCTTTATACACTGTCTATCTAGCAACTCAACTTACCAAGCGGGCATAGCTTCCTGGAGCATCTTGCTATCTTATTGTAGCAGGAGCACCAGTTGCAGCCGTCGGGCATCCATTTACTGCCGTTCGCGCACCACGGTTTGCCGCGCAGGTCTGCAGTCATAGAGGTATTTTAAATTACACCTACACGATAGATGATTAAAATTAATTTTTTGTGTGTTTTTTAAATATAAGGGACTAGATTTGACAGATTTTTAACTGAGAACGCAAGCTCTGGTTTAGTTGGCATAAACTTAATTTAACGAAAAATCTCATGAAATGTACGTGAGATTTTGTCTTTTAAATTTATTTAGAATTTGATTATTCTTAGGACGTTTTTTCCGACCACGTATTCTCCGATCTTGATTTTACCGCTTGGAATTCAGCGATAAAAATCATAAATTCCATTCCAGACAAATTTAATTTATAGGTAACGACTTTTTGTTGGCTTGGAATCGAAATCCGCTTGAAATTTCCTAAGTAACTTTACTTAGTAAACGCAAGCTCTACGAGATCTTGTTTCCTTCATGCGGCCACATCTTCAGCTCAAAGGCAACAGTGAACAAATAATTGTGCAGTATTACATTCCAGGATGATTTTCGCGACACTATTCCTGAATAAGAGTATTCTCTCGTGCTACACAGCAACGACTCGCGTAAAAGTCCGAATCGCAATCAGTATTTGGAACAGTGAACTTGACAATTTCGGTCGCGGGTGCTAATTATTGATCATCGATTACAGTTACCATCCGTGAGTTTGAAACTCCAGTAGAGAGGAGGTACGAAGTCTAAGATACACACATCAATGTTTGATTTTCAATTATGTATCAATTTACTCCACAGCGATGACGGGTGATATATGTATGAGAGGTCGGATTTATTTTGACTTGGAACATTGGTGAATATTTCCTCACATTTCAATCGCTATCTCCTGTAAAAAGTTTGAAATAATTTAGTCAGACTCGTTATAATGCTTGAGCACGCAGTGTACGTAGTATTTATTTATATATTTATCTTAAGGTTGCGGACTGACTGCCTGGGGCACACTGTACGTGAGAACAGGCGGCGCTTCGGTTGACACACGTGCAGAGATTGCAGCCGTCATACCATTTCGATCCACTTTCGCAGACCACTGAGCCTGAAAATGAATTCAAAAGTCAACTGAAGAATTCAAAATTTAGAACAGATAAATCTCACAGCGCTAGATAATTTGAAGTGAATGATATATAACAGGCTAACGTCAAGAGATTGACTCTATCTTCATCTTCAAAATCAGACTAGACGAAGCTATACAGGAGCATATGTTCAGTCTTAAAATGCCTAGCAAATAACGGATCAGGCAATAAGTCCAGCAGCTATCTCAATCAATCGTCAGCTATGGAAAGATCGGGTTCCAAAGGCCGGATCCCTTGTGAATCAAGTCACGAAAAGTTCAAGAATCGGCAACAGGCCATGGGCCTATTTCTTCAACGCCGACACTTCTATTCTATTCTATCAGCAAATCATACATTTACGAACGATAAACACGCATAAATAATAACCGAGGATACGGAAGGTGACTGGGTAACTTAAAATGTGATCATTCGGAAGTAATGTATAAATGAAGGTATCAAACTTTCTACGCATCTGCATAATATAATGATAAAATTTGGAGAAAATCTCAATAATTCTCAAATACCAAATAAGTTCTGCAGCTCGTCTGCTGGGACTCAATGTTGGTGAACTGAGCTTCAGCGCCACGAACTTTTACCAAGAATATATATTAAATAAAGATATTAAACAAATACAATGTATAAATAACTTGATGCTTCAGAAACTTCCGAGACCGTGGTCGATATAGATAATTAATATAATCAAATGAAATGAGGTGCGAATTCTGTTGTAAACTGAATAAACTTTTAATAAGGTGATTTGCCCAGCGCATAAAAATTAGTAGTATTTTACCGAAAATATTTTGTACCCTAGACAATGATGTGCTTTTTTATACTACTGACATATATTATTATCCCACACCAACGAAATTAACGAGAAATATTCATGTCGTGATATATTTGGAATTAGTAGGTCTACCGTTGCTACGAAACTGATTAAAAGAAGCCCCTATTTTGGCCCAGATTTTTTTTAAATGATAGCATATTGCGTTAGGGTCAATTTGAACTCAATAATTGAGTATGCTTGGGAAATTATGGAATTAATTTTCTCTTAATTTATGAGGCTGAAATATTTATTTCTCACCTGCTGTGGTGACGAAGAATGCAAGGACTGAGAGTCCCAGCAATGCATGCAAGAATCTCATGACTGATGTGCTTTAATTTATCTTGTCAAGCTCTGGAATATATCGGGAACGAAATGACTGCTTGCGAGCAAGCCGCGTTCTCGGCGCCGAATAACCTTAAAATGAGACCGATCAGTCCGGCGCTTGTCGTGTTTTAATAAACGTACTTTATCTTGCAACAAAAATGCAATGTGGACATATACAAAAAATTGTTGAGATTCCTCATGGCTTAGTCACATGCTTATCATAATATGACTGTAAGTCCGCGCATAGCCAATGTTTGGCTAACAGCTCGACGTGTGCCATAACAGATCGTGATTTGCCGGTCGCAGGCGGAAAAAAATTCGAGAATGTATGAAGAAATATTTACGTGTCCCGAAAGATATTTAAGAAATGGACCATATGCAAAATTATTTGTAGAGTTGTAAGACATTAATATTTGTACAATTTTTATTGTTTTCACTATGAAAATAAACGGCAATTATCAGCAGCTGTTCATTTACACTAATAGTGAATAATTGCATTAAATAATGTAGTATGCCCGAGCATGGTAGGAATTATCTTCCACCTACACATATCTTCCACCTACACATATCTTCCACCTACACATATCTTCCACCTACACATAACTATGAAACTCCATAGAGAATGAAGTCACAGGTACAATTTTGTAAGATTAAAAAGTTAAAAAAAAATTCAATAAAAAAAGATAAAACTTCTTTCCCTTATAAGGCATAAATTAACGAATAACAAAGACAGAATTTTTAATTATTTCCAAGAATATCAAGGATACAAATATAGAAAGATTCAATTGTCGTAGATATGACGTCATGAATTATCTTTCATATAAAACTGCGCCACGGTAAGCAAAAATTCCCCCGTTTTAGGTGAAATTGCTGAAAAAAATTAGGTAGCAAAAGAAGCAGGTTAAACTTGAGAATATCCACAGCTGAAACAGTGAGTGAATATAGAACTCATTTTGGTGGAGCTGCTAGATTATTACATAATTTTAAACGATGCGAATCCAGAATTGGATACGGTTGCGACCAGAAGTAATTTGCATGATTAAATAATTATTTAATTATAGTATTGAGTTTTTATACAGGAATTCAGTGGCAGTTAATTTGTAATACACACTTTTGTTCCAACCACGCGATGGTGAGGGTCGTAATAATATTTTTCTTGTTAATACAACATTAAGGACTAGAGCTAAGATGACATATTCATGGCATGGCATAATCTTGGCATGGCATATTCATGGCTACGCGAGTGTTAATTGCTCATATTATTTACGAATTTGTACTTAATGGTTTCTACTTAAGTACTAATTTTAGAATAATTAGTCATTTTTAGTGTGATCCTTCGTCCATGAATATGATAAAATAGAGTTCTAGAAATTGAAACATGTATCCTAGTGATGTTTCATGATAGTTTTTATTTCTTTCGATTGCGACAAGTAATCAAAATTTAATTCGTTTACAACTTTCAAATATATGATTTACCTTCATATTTTCAAAATATTACTATGTTTCTTTAATAATTAGGATAATCAGATAAAGCTGTGAAACTTAATTGGGACGAATATTCTAAAAACTCTTTCATGACGATTTTTGCTAATTGTGACCGCTAAAAATGCTAATGGGTTTTTGGGCATGTTTTCATACATATTTTATTATTCGTATTTTTTACATTCACAACCGACTCTCGAATCGTCAAGAAATTAACATAGTGATCTAAAATTTTGCAAACATTGTTTTTTTGCGCTTGCCGAACTTTTCTGCACAATTTTAAGACCGAACTCCAGGAAGTTGAAAAAATGTAACTCAGTAGTACTCACTGCAGTGAGTGACAGAGAGCGCATTTTCTGGTCGACGAAAACTTGAGGTCACGGACAGACGGACAGACGGACATGGCGAGCACAATAGTGCATTTTTTCCATAAATGAGAAAATGCGCTAAAAACGCTCCACCCGAACGGAAATTTTTTTCACCAGGCTGTGTTGCCCTTGACATCTATACTGGTACTGTACTTCTCGTTATCTTCTATATCACCATCACTGAGGAAATTCGTCTGCTACCAAATAGTGGAATTCCTTCAGGCTAGCGAGGTGGTTTGTAGGGTGCCGCTATTCTTGAGGGCTTCTATTTTGTCATTCATAGTCTTCCTAAGTGTGGTAGCATGCATTTAATCTAATGCCTCATTATTATTATTAGAAATATGAGATATTCATTAATAATGAATGAGTGAACAATGGACCTGATCATCCTTGTTTTTAACGTTTATTCATCAACTTGACTGCGTACCTCCTATCGACACCTTGAGTCTCCCTCATTTAAATTTTTTCCTTTTATATATTTCGATCCTGGTAAGTGTCCAATTTCTGTACGTAGATCTGTGTCTGAGTTTTTATTTCAGTGTTATTCCGTGCTTTTGACGATAATTTCATTCAATTTCTGTACTTAGGTCTGTGTCAGATTATTTATAATATAGGTCGTGTTAAATCTTTCCATGTGTCCTTATTCTTGCTCCTTCTTAACTTCGTTATTGCCGGATCGAGAACCAGTACGTGCCATTACAGCCACTGCGGCCAAACCAACCTGATAAGTAAATCTACAGAGTCACTCTAAAGAGAAGGATCAAGATTGAAATAATGTAAGTATCATCATCAAACAAAACCCGGTTTTAACTTTAAACTTAATCAGATACCTCAAATAAATTTAATACAAATACAAATAAACTTAATCAAATTAAACTTAATCAAATTAAACTTAATCAAATTAAACTTAATCAAATTAAACTTAATCAAATTAAACTTAATCAAATTAAACTTAATCAAATATCGGTCGTTAGACGCTTTGCTGCCAATAGATTTGTAACAAATAAGCACAGTAAACTGTGCACCATACTCGGTATCACTTGTATTGCAAAAGAATCAACTCATCGATGCGGTTGATTTTATTTATTGTTGATTTCAAAAGATTATTTGATGTCTTTAGTCCCTGAGCTAAGCGACCTCGAAATTGGAGTGGGCATTTTTCGAGCTATTAATTTTGAGAGCGTTTCGCAGAACGCTTCACTACGTGTGTCAAGTGCATATTAAATTGTATGCTGCCAGGTGCATATTAAATGATCTCTATGTCAAGTGCATATTAAAACATGTCAAGTGCATAAATTGACACTTAGGTGTCAATTTGTCAGAGGGTATACGCACCGAACATCGACCGGGAGCACGACAGACATCATAAATCAGTTTAAGACGTAACACAAAACAAGACCAGGATATTTCCTATTTTATAGATTTTTGGCATCATCATAATTGCAAAGTACATAATCTTTGTCGTTTTCGCAATGGTGGTACGATCGATTCTCGCTCAGCCCGTGAATGTTGGAGGAAGTGATCGCACTTCCACGAACTTGGTGGAAAATTTCTACGTCAAATCAACAAGTCAAGAAATTTTGGTTCCTACTAATAACATCAGGAGCAAAGTACTCATAGATTAGTACGCGAAGCCACAATCTACGCGCCTCAACATGCAGCAATCTACACAAGTAATAGCGCCACAATCTACGCGCCTCAACACGCAGCAATCTACACAAGTAATAGCGCCACAATCTACTTCTTTCAACGCGCCACAATCTACACGACTCAACACGCCACAAGCTTCACTGTTTAACACGTCACAATCTGCTCGCTTAAACACGTCATAACGATTTTACATGCCACAATCTGCTCGCTTCAATGCACCACAATCTGCACGCTATACATCTTCTAAAGATTGTCTAAACTAAAAACTTAATTGCAGCTCATTTAAAATATAGAAATAACGTTAATAGCTTTATTTCTGTTCATTCAAAAAGTTGAGTGAATGTTTTCGTTGTGAATGTTTAGACATTCATCATGAACTACAGTTGAAACTGGAATTTATTTGTAATATTGAAACACAGCGTGAGTTTTGCAGGAGATCGCCTCCCTATAGTTGGCATCGCTCATTGCCAGTGTGTCTCTATGAATTTTTAAAAACTTGTTTTTACTAATAAAAGTTATCGTTCATATGAAATTGGTGTTTATTCAACTGTTTAGCTTGTTCTGTCCCTGATAGTGTTGTTTAACCTAAATTATTAAGATCACGTTTGTCGAACTTTCAATTATTAGGAGAAACTAATTTTTTGATCGAGAAGTTTGCGAAATTTTACGCTGTGTGAGAATTCAACACGAAAGAAACTATATTAAGGATCTCCAGCAGGGCATTTCATCCTAACTGATTGTTGGTAGAATTCCATATTTACAATATATTCATGTCAAATGTTCGACAAATGTCCGTGAGAGATATAGTATGGCTCGTGACACATATGCTGTATAAGCTGTGAACTCCGCGTCTGAGGCAAGCTCTCAGTGACACAGCGGACTCAAAGCTAACTAGGTCTGCTGGTCTGCTGGTCTGCTGGTCTACTAGTCTGCTGGTCTGCTGGTCTGCTAGTCTGCTGGTCTGCTAGTCTGCTGGTAAACACATGAGGATTTGTAACCACAAACTACTCTCGGACTTTCACCAAACTTCCGAGTGGAAGGATGCACGCTGCTGCGAAACAAAGAGCCTGTTGCAAAATTCTGTCAGGGTTCATAAAAATGGAATTTATTTGATGTTCGTAAATCTATGAATTAATGAATAGCAATGATAAATTATCTCGCTTACCTGAAGGAATTTCACCCTTTGGGGGCAGATGAATTTCCTCGATGATGATGATATAAAACTTGTTCGTCTATAAAAGATAACGAGAAGCCACCACCACCACCACCACTTGAAGGTCTATAAAAGATGACTAGCACAGTACCAGAAGAGTTGTCAAAGATAACACAGCCTGGTGAAAGGATATTTCCGTTAGGGTGGAGCATTTTTAGCGCATTTTCTCATTTATGGAAAAATGCCCTATATTGTGCTCGCCATGTCCGTCCGTCTGTCTGTCCGTCCGTGACCTCAAATTTTCGTCGACGAGAAAATGCGCTCTCTGTCACTCACTGCAGTGAGTACCAAGTTATATTTTTTCAACTTGTGGTGTTCGGCTTCATAATAGTGCGGAAAAGTTGTGGAAGTGCAAAAAAACTACGTGTGCAAAATTTTAGAACCTATTTCTAATAGAATCTAGAGTCTTCAATTTCTTTAATTAAGATTCGAGGCTCTTTTGAAAACGTGAAAAATATGAAAAATAACATATACATATATGGAACTATGTCAAAAAAGCCATAGAGCATTTTTAGAAGTCACAATTAGCAAAATTCTTCATGAAATAGTTTTCAGAATTTTGTCCCAAGTTTCACAGCTCTATCTGATCCTTTTCATTATTAAAGATGCTTAGTAAAATATCGAAAATATGAGGGTAAAGCCTATATTTGAAAATTTTAAACCAATTAAATTCCGATTACTTGACTGCCAAAATAAGTGAAAACTATCATGAAACATCACTAGGCTACATGTTTCAATTCTAGAGCTCTATTTTATCATCTTCATGGACAAAGTTTCACTCTAAAAATGACTAATTTTTTAAATTGATACATAAGTAATAGCCATTTAGTTAGTACCAATTCTTAAAAATATAGGCGTTTAACACTCGTGTAGCCAAGAATTTACCATGCCAAGAATATGCCATATTAGCGCTTGTTCTTAATGTTGTATTAAGAAATAAAAATATAATTACAAACTTCAACATTGCGTGATTGGAAAAAAAGCACGTATTGCAATTTAATGCCACTCTGCCACAAAATTCATGTATAGAAACCTAACACTGTAATTAGATAAGTTAATAATCATGCAAATTACTTGGGGTCGCGACCGTTTAGGAATTCTGGATTCGCTCCGTTTAAAATTATGTAATAATCTAAAAAAATTAACCGATCCTGTTAACTTTCAACTATCGTGAACCCCCTACATGAGTTTCATTCCCTCACCGTTACAGCTGTGGATATTCTCATGATTAACCTGCTTCTTTTGCTACCAAATTCAATGATTTCACAAAAAAACTGAGGATTACATCGCCTACCGTTCCGCAGTTTTATCTGAGAGTTTATGACGTCATATCTACAATTGAGTCCTTCCATTGGGATCCATGTTATTCTTGGAAATAAATATCAAAATTTTGTCTTTGTTATTCGTTAATTTATGCCTTATAAGGAAAAGAAGTTTTATTCTTTTAATTGAAGGTTTTAACTTTTTAATCTTGCAAATTAGGACATGTGACTTCATTCTCTATGGAGTTTAGTAGTTATGTGGAATGAAAGATAATTCATACCATATTTGGGCATACTACATTATTTAATGCAATTAATCACTATTAGTGTAACTGAACCTCTGAGGATAATATATGAGGATTATCATATAATATGAGGATTATCATAGTGAAAACAATAAAAATAGTAAAAATATTAATATCGTACAACTCTACAAATAATTTTGCATTTGGTTGATTTCTTAAATATCTTTCGGTACACGTGAATATATCTCCATACATTCTAGATTTTTTTTTTTCGCTTGCCACCAGGAAATCACGATTGGCACACGTCGAGCAGTTATCTAAACATTTCGTTTCGCCGACTTACAGTCATATTATGATCTGCATGTGACTGGCTTCACGAGGAATCTCAACAAACTTTTGCATATGTCCACATTGCATTTTTGTTGCGATAAAAAGTACGTTTCTTGAAACGCGACAAGCGCCGGGCTGATCGATCAAATTTTAAGGTTATTCGGCGCTGAGAACGCGGCTTGCTCGCAAGCAGTCATTTCGTTCCCGATATATTCCAGAGCTTGACAAGATAAATTAAAGCACATCAGTCATGAGATTCTTGCTTGCATTGCTGGGACTCTCAGTCCTTGCATTCTTTGTCGCTTCAGCAGGTGAGAAATAAATATTTCAGCATAAAGATATTTTTCATAAATTTTATGAAAAGAAGTCATATAAATTACCAAGCCGGCTCAATTATTTTTATAAAGTTTAAGTTGTTACACTCGAAGAGCCTAACACAATATTCTATCATTAAAAAAAATCGGGGCAAAAATATGGGCTTCCTTAATGTTAATCAGTTCGTTGGCAATGACGCTAATTGCAAAATATATTACGGCATGACTATTTAATAATGATACCATCAATTGATTCATTAGTTCCGAATGATCTCATTTCATGTAATTTAGCCTCCTTCCGTCTCTTTTTATTGTTTCTGCGTGTTTATTGTTCGTTCATGTGTATCTTGCATATAGAGTCAATCTCTTGGCGTGAGCCTGCTATATGTCATTCACTTCGAATTATCAAGCAACGAGATTTAACTGTTCTAAATTTTTAATTCTTCTCAGACTATGACCGCTATGTGGACTGCAAAGATGGATCGGTATGGTATGACGGCTGCAATACCTGCTTTTGTTACAACCGGATCGCCGCCTGCACGAAAAAAGCTTGTCCCCCAGGCAGTAAGTCCACAACCTTAATATAAATAATTCAAAAGTATAACACTGCGCGCTTAATCATTATCACGTGTCTGAATAAAATATTACAAAGTTTATTTCCAGGAAATAGCGATTGAAATGTGAGGAAATATCCACCAGTGTTCCAAGGCAAATTAAATCCGACCTCCCATGCATGTGTGTGTGTGTGTAATTTCCCATCCTGGTAGTGGCAACTAGGTAAGGGAAGAGGTGATAGGTTAGTTTTTCCGGGCACTTAAAGCCACTGGTACGACCAGTGTCCATCACTATACGACCATCACTAGCTCGCTGACCTGCCAGAACCATTTTTGCATTACACAACACCCTGGATAAGCCAGGTACTCATTCAGCAACCAGAGTTGGATGAATGGCTGAGTTGACCATGAGCTGAGCTTCACGGAAGAACTTTTCCTCAGTGGGACTCGAACCAGGGAGCTGGGTGCGAGAGACTGAGTCTCTCACCACTGCACTACCAAGGCTCCCGTACATCACCCGTCTTCGCTGTGGAATGGAGCTAATAGGAACTCAAACTCTGATGCGTATCTTAGACTTCGTACCTCCTCTGTATTGAGGTTGCCAATTCACGCATTGTAACTGTAATTGTGAGCTCGACGATTATCGTGAATTAGCAATCACAACCGAAATTGTCAAGTTCACTGTTCCAAATACTGATTGCGGTTCGGATTTTTACGCGAGTCGTCGCTGTTTAGCACAAGAGTATCTTGAATACCCATACTCAGGAATAGTGTCGCAACAATCATCCTGGAATGCAAAACTAATAAGTGTTTGTTCGCTGTTGCCTTTCAGCTGAAGATGGAAGCCGCATGAAGGAAACTTGATCTCGTAGAGCTTGCGTTTACTCGGTAAAGTTACTTAGAAAATTTCAAATGGATTTCGATACCAACCAACAAAAAGTCGTTATCCATAAACTACATTTTTTTGAAACAGATTTCATCATTTGTATCGCTGAAATCCAAGAGGTAAAATCGATTAGAGACTACGCGGTAGGAAAAATGTCGCAAAGAAAAAACTCACGCAAAAACTCTACACAAAGAAAAAACTCACGTGCTTTCCTTGAAATATTTTCGTTTAATTTAGTTTATACCAACAACACCTGAGCTTACTTTCTCAGTTAAAAATCTATCATATTTTGTCGCTTATATATAAAAAAAAACACATAAAAATAAACTTAATTTTAATCCACCTAGCGAGTGATTTAAAATACCTCTACGACTGCAGGGTGCGGAAAACCGTTGTGCAAGAATGGCAGTAAATGGAAGGCCGTCGGCGCCGACTGGTGCACCTGCGTTAATAAGAAACCAAAATGCACCAAGAAGCCATGTCAACTTGGTGAGTTGAGACATGATAGGCATGCCTAGATAGACAGTGTATAAAGCTAATCAAATAGGATTTCCTGACTCTGCTGTAATTTACGGAGTTTTCATCTTCAAATGATGATATGATGGTGCGGTTACATCTGTATGGTGTGCAGAGCTGGGCAGCGCTACTTGGAAATGTAGCGGCGCTACCGCTACCGCTACATGCTCTAAATGTAGCGGGCGCTACCGCTACCGCTACACCCACTAGATTGTAACGGGCGCTACCGCTACCGCTACAGTAAAATGTAGCGCGCTACATTAGCCGCTACAATGGCCAAAATTATTGGAACTCTCTAAATATTTATTGTTCTGCTATTGGGATTTACTCATTAACATTTAATGATAATAAAACATTTTTAAAATATATCAATGCAACTTTACTGCAATTAACCTAACCGAACTAGTATGGGTTACCCCAGAATTAGATACAGTAAATAAAAGTTAGTTATTTTTATGTTTTACCTTCCCTACATGGATGTGAACTTTAATCTACCAATCTAAGAAATTATCCACATATACATATAAAAATCAGTCTTTATATATATATATATATATGTGGATTATTTTTGAGATTGTTAGATTAAAGTAGACATCCATGTAGGGAAGGTGAAACATAAAAATAACTGTGTAAAAATAACTGTAAGCAAACTGAAAGATGAAAAAAACCTGTAAGTGGCAACTGGTAACAACTTAACAAGTAACAACTAACATGTTGACACTAGTAACATATCGCTACTTAAATATGTAGCGGGCGCTACCGCTACCGCTACATTGCCTTAAATGTAGAGCCGCTACCGCTACCGCTACTGAAAATGTAGCGGCCGCTAGTAGCGGCCGCTACATGTAGCGCGCTACTGCCCACCTCTGATGGTGTGTGATTTTCTTCAAAGTTTTGCTCATGTAGTTGTACAGTAACCGATATTTTTGAACATGTATGGAATTACGTTCACTTAGTTCATGCCAAAGTCGTATTAGCTTTATATCATCTAGTTTACAGTTTTTTCTAGTTTACACCATCTAGTTTATTTACTAATCATAAAAGAATTGTGCCTAAGTTACTGATTTATGGCGCCGGTTTCTTGCCAAGTCACTTGCATGGGGCCCAATTCTCATCGTTTCAAGTGCTGAAAGCCTTTCCAAACAGTGTCCGATTCTTATTGTTTCACGTGTAAAAATCTCAATCAAATGGAGTCCAATTCTAATCATTTCAGGTGGATAAAGCTCAACCAAATGAAACTCGTTGGTGGAGGACCTTCAATCCGCTGTTGACGATTGCCAGACGCGACGTCATCGATGGTTTTGCTCTGCTCATGCCACCCTCCCACTGCGTCAATGGCGATATAGCCAAAACTTTTCTAACTATTGCTGGTGTTGTCATCGGTGGTGTATTTATATATTATCGAGGGCACTTTAATATGTCATCGGAGGTTAAGTTCTTTAATGAAGTATTTAAAAATTCTTCTCGCAGCAAATAGCCGAGCTTGATGACTATATAATCCATCACGTAAATGTCAATACACATTCATATGAAGATTTCTAACAAAAATGTACGAGCTTGCATAACAGGTCCATGACATTTACTCTATCAATCAGGCATTACCATGTATGTGTGATTTTTCTTTAATGTATCTTGTAAATAAAAAATGCAGGAGTTATTATGGCATTTAATTTTTACAGTTATTTACGATCAAACTTCCGTACGGACAGTGAGAGTAACCATGTTTTTTTTGACGTCATCCTTCGTGTGTGGCGTTAATAAATCTGAACATGAGTTTAATAAAATAACATAAAACTTATCAGTGTTATTTTAGTAAATAATACATTTTTTACAACGCATGTATCAACCGCCAACAATAGTTGCCTTCATCTGCGATGGTGTTACTCTAAGTTTTTTGCCGTGCTATTACTGCTGATGATGAAGGTGACCGAACTACTGCTGGTGATGATGAAACGTCTCCTCGATGGTTGTTTTGATGCGGCGGTGCTATAGTGCACATTCTCGACCTTCAGTGGAGTCAGTTCCGAGGTCCGTAAAACGGCTGAAGTCGAAACGATGCTGATCGCTAGAGCGTTGGACTGTTGAGAAGTTCTTTTAAAAGTCTTTTAGAGGATTCTATGGAGTGTGTAGTGTTTTGACACTCGTCAACTGAACCAGTTTCCCCGAAATCTTTCCTCAAGCGCATATAATGCAGGTATACGCGGGTATCTTCGGAATCCTGTCATGAAGCTTGCGCCGGCTTGTGGTTTCAGGACTTGTCGTTCGCAAGCGAATGTTTCCCGTAGCAGTTTCGCCTTAGCACGGTAACAATACTCCGACCACCAACTTGGTCAGAACACCCAACTACAGACAATAACTTGCAACCACTCAATTGGCTCGTTGGCTCAGAACTGTCTCCTGTGTTCTGAATTCTGACGCGCGAGTTCTGAATTCTTCTTATATACTTATATACTCCGCAAGCCGCAACATAGCGTTGCTTTGATTTTTACCCTAAACAACCCAGAGTTTTCCCCCCATGAACAGGAACAACTACTACTTCGCCCTGTATCTTCATATTCACATTCGCCTAATTAACATTCGTAATTCCTACTCTAATCATATCAGAAAACGCTGGCCTGATCATGTTACTCTATCTTCCATTCCTGAGTCATGATATTATTCTCTAATTAAAATTGCACTGAACAACTTCAAGTGAATTCAAATTTGTTCGTAATTGAGAAGCCACGTCGAATGATAGCTGATCCCTGACATAATTTTAATGTCACGACATTAATAGTGAGTCTAGTTTCAACTAGACCAACTAACCGTACATTTTACTGCTGAGGAGCTAAGAGGAGTGAGATTTCAGTTCGTATGACTGCAATTTGTTGATTTAAGAGTAATTTTTAAATATAATAACCCTTGAGTAGATATACAAATAATGAAGATTATTTCTAATTTGTAATTATTTTACACATGTTGAGTTGAGTTCTGGCAGTGATCGAGGACGCACGTAGTGTTTGCGGGTCCCAACTTTCTCACTTTTTACTATGCCGGTTTGACTTATCTCGCGAATTTTGTACCGAAACGATTTCAGTGAAAGGTTCAATTTTAGTGCAGTTCAATCAAAATTGTGCGAATAGTGAGAAAATAAGAATCGGCGACAGGCCACATCAGGCCTACACTTCAGAGCCGACATCACTATGTTATGTTATGTTATGTTACATGGCTTGTGAATTTACAATAACCGAGTAAACAACTTGCATGTTTAGAGCACGAACAAAAGACGGAGCTTTTAGCAAACATTACATTAGTGCAACAATATAAAGTTTAAATTATACATTCTAAAGAAATTTCCAATTACGCATTTCTGAAGAAACTTGATGCAGTGATTTATTACAGGATAGAATCATCATGACTTTAATTAATAAATATAACACTTATGGGTCAATAAAAAATATTCATTGGTGAAAACAGAAGTAATCAAACGACTAGAAAAATCAAATTATTGAATCATTATCAACTAAAAAGGGTTATGAATGCTTATATTTTTCCAATAAACGCAAAATTTTATACGATTGGCGACATTCAATGAATAAATATTGTTGTACAAATATTTTCAAGAAATCAGCAAAAAAAATCGAACAAATTTCCCTGACGAAGAATCAAAATATAATATCTTATTTTGCAAACGGATAAACGGTAAACCATATCTTTGCTGTTGGGATGAGGTATATACCAATTCTTAAAACAGCAATAGGCTAATATTCCCATAACATTCATAATTTTGTTTGGTGAAAAGACTGTGAATCTGATAAGAATCTGACAGAGAATCTGACAAGAATCTGAAATATTTCATAGTTCATTTGAAATTTTTATTTATAAATTTAATTGCTTCACTTTTTATACGAGAATTTAAATATGAAAGAAGGTTTCTAGTGGGATCTGCATCACACACAATACATTCTCTAATTGAACAAAAATGTTGCTATATTTACATCAATGATAATTATTGTAAAGAACTATAAAAGTTCCAGGAGATTAATTAATTGGGTTGAATAAAATCACGACCGAGGAAAGTGGATATCAAGCGAGACTAAATTGATAATGAAGTAATTTTTGATAATGCGTCTTTAGAAAATTTTCGAATTTCAAAGAAGCAATTCCTCAAATATTCTCTGTGTATGTATAAAGTATTCATGTAAAGATTTCGAAATAAAAATATCAACTATTTATATGACTGAAAACGAATACATTTATACCAGAATTTCAAATTTCCTTGTCAAAAAATGCACATGACCATCAGAGTACACGACCAAAATGGATAACGCTTTGCATACATAAAATGGGATTTTCTATACGTACTATTTGATGCAATACTATTTATTTACGTTTTGAGGCAATACGAGGATATCTTGTATTCAATTTGCACTTATGTATGTACTTAGAGCCAGCCAAGTGAGTCGTCTTGATGAGGTTATACATATGTAGTATTCCTGCCAATTACCGAATTTTCATTTTGCGTGGCTCGAACTCTACGACGCTTCATAGTGTATTTGCACAAGACATTGGTTTGTTTGGGTAATAGAATCTTGGAATGTTGTTTCTTGCAATTAGGTTCGAAACAGCATTGCTCCTGTATAATAAATTATTTTTTGTTATCGTATGTTGCCGCAGTGTAGTTTAAAATTAGAAAAACCTTATTTGCATTAAAAAACTCTCTTCATATGCTAATGAAGATTGATTTCGGAGCTTAAATGGCATGGCATGCAAATAATTTGTGAAGACGACACTACGGATAGAAGGAGCAGTGTATTGACTGGCGGTCGCTATAGGTAACGTAGCCTCGCAAATATCTAGCGAGTATGTAGGTTAATTAGTTCCTGGTACAGCCATAAATTATCATGATTTTCGCCCTGACGTACAGTGACGTACAATGCATGGGTGCAGTCAGCACTAATGTGCAAGCATAACTGTTGGATAAAACTTGTTCCTCATCCCTTATATGGTAAAGATAAAGAGACTGAGCTAAAGATAAATACTCTAAGCTAATGATTAAGAGACCATGCTAAATATGAAGAGACCAAACTAAAGATAAAGAGACCGAGCTAAAGATAAAGACACTAAGCTTACGATTAAGAGACCATGCTAAATATGAATAGACCATGCAAAAAATAAAGAGATCATGCGAAATTTAAAGACACTATAAGCTAAAGATAAAAAGACCATGCTTAAGATGAAGAGACCAAGCTAGAGATGAAAAGATCAAGCTCAATATAAGGGGACCATGCTAAATTCAAAGACACTAAACTAAAGATAAAAAGACCATGCTAAATATAATGAGACTAAGCTAAAGATAACGAGACAATGCTAAAGATAAAGAGACAAAGCTAAAGATAAAATGGCCAAGCTAAATATAAAGAGACCAAGCGCTAAAATATAGTAAGAAATTTTGAATTCAGCATAAATCACTTCCACAACCTCATGCACTTATGTCATTGTTGAGTTGTCCTTGTCCACTCTTTCAAGTTAACATATTTTTAGCAAATAATTAAGAGAATATTCCGTGCACTCATCATTTCACTGTGCTGCCTCAGAAGAAAATGTGTAGCCTTAACGTTAAACGTGGTTATATGAATTTTTTTCATTTTTCTCATGGATGTGAGATGAATTTGCTATATTGAATTTGCTTAACGTCGGTTCAACTCTTCAGATTTTTATCAAATTCATTATTGGTTCATTTTACGATGAAATTTGTATAATTGGTCGTTCTTTGAATATCATTTATATGTTCAAAGAGCGTGATTATTAGGAATAAATATTCATTGTGAGTAAATTTGGGTATAACTTCAAAATCATCCTTGACCATCAACATCCACGCATATCTAAAAAACATGATAACCTTATCTTACTGCCAAACTCCTGATGATAAACTCTAATCTCTAAAAAATAAAACAAAAGAAACACAACGTGGGGTGGTTTTGTTAATTAACGACGTTTTTTCCATTAAAAATAAAATTTCCTGCTGGAATATCTGATGTTATTTTAAATGAGAAGTAGGCTTTTTAAACATTAATTCATTTCCAGCAGAGTATTCAATTCATGCGCTTATACAGTGTTAGCCTGGCGTGCGAACACCTCCAGTTCGGTGATCTCGAGACAGGCGTCTGCGCTGACTGTCTGTACAGTTCTCTGCACAGACAAGAAGCGTCCCAGAACTGGCTGGGTGAGGTTCTGAGCGACCCAGGTCACAGGTTCGTATACTGGCCCAGGAAACAGGACCAGCCGAGAGTACGATCCGAAGTCTGGGCCAGCTACCTCAGTCAGCCCAGTTCGCACCTGGGCATAGTGGACTAGAACTAGTCTTCTGGGTAGACTGGGTAGACATAGGAGTCTACTGGGCATAGACTAGTAGTTTACTGTGTATACTGATTACTGGGTAGACATAGTAGTAGTAGTAGTAGTCTACTGGGCATAGTGGACTGTAGAAGTGGTCTACTGGGTAAACTGGGTAGACATATAGTAGTCTACTGTTCATAGTAGACCGGAAATGCGAGCTTGGTAGAGAATATTAAAATGACCTCATAGTATGAACCGTATTGTAGGGAGTTAAATTCCCTTAATGTTTTTAAATTTCAATTAGTTTAAAATTATTTAATGTTTTAACGTCAGAGGAAAATTTCAACTGAAGTATATTCTTTCGTGAAAAGTAAATTTCCTTCGTTGTAGTTTTTCATTGGTGTCCCATTTAGACAATCATATACTTTTAATTCACTTCACAATTAAAATGCGAGCACAAAATTTTAATCAAATTACGGCATATACATGACAAAATATTCCAATCGTTTAAGCGTTGAAGACCAACTAAGGTAGGAAAATACATGAGCAAAGAGAGTCCTTCGGCTTCCTAGTTGTAAACCAAGAAATTGCAGCATTTTTATATAAATATTTTCAGCGTCCAAACTTATCCATAACTTCCTAATCTCACATTAAAAATAACTGAAATTTTATGATGCATTTAAAATTCTGTGAACATTTAACCCAGACTCACATCAATGCCCGAGAAGCGTGTCGAGTTGTAGTTAAGCCTCGGCAAGATCCTAACTCCCTCGATGCTGAAGGCTGTGCCCAGGTCCACCACCATGAACGGATAATCCTCTTTATCGGAGTGGAAAAATCCGTTCAATGATCCATCGTTGGCTCGAGCCACTGCGCTGTAAGAGAAAAATTATATGTATTATGTTATTTTTCTTATTTCGCGCGAGTAGTTACACTGATACTGTGTATTTTTCCTAGATATTACGTAGATAAGAAAAGAAAGACGACTACACCGCAGAGCTGAGGCAGATATTTTCGCACTTCCCGATGACTTGGACGCATACTGTACATACGTTGTCTCTACCTAGTCAAATTCGCCTAGTATGCTAGTTAGTTGTATGGTTAAAATGTTAAATTTGTGGTATTATTGTAAACAAAATTTATTATTTAATTTCTTATTGATATGTCCCACCGGAGTTGTACTTTTTTGCAACAAATAATCATGATGAACTAATGTTATTATTTGATGGTAGCATTTCACCATGTTGAGCTATGAGACATGAATGTACTTCCATTAGAATTTTAAGGTAAATCTAAAATCGACCACCTTAATTTCAACTTGAGAACGATTCCACCTTGATTGTAATTCCTTGAATTACACCGGGAAACCATAAAAATTCCCCAACTTTTCATTAGAAAAACACTAGTAGAAAACAAATTCTTCGATATATTCTGTCGTACAGTAACAAAATCAGTTAAATCTTTATTATTTACATCGATCCTCTCTTGAATAAGTTTCACATACTATCCAGGGCCCAAGGTGGTGGAAGCCCGCGTGGGTTTCAGGAGCGCCACATTCATGAGAGGTGGCGGCGCGGAGCGGATGCGCATCACCACACCCTTCTTCGGCGGTGGTGGGCCGCCGACTGCCAGCCGGCAACCGCGAGCTGCGAAGAAATTAACTCACAACGACCAGCAAGCAACCTTGATTTTTTTTTAAAAATCGAACATAATAAGGTAGGGCAACTCTCATCGCAATGTCTGTAATTTCATATCTCTCTATGTCATCAAAACACTCAATGTCAATAAAAAGACTTATTCTGAACTTCGGCGAATCGGGTTTTGATTTCAACAAGTTACACGTGGGTATATGCTGCTATACGAGTACTCAATAAAAGGAGTGCGCCCAAATCGCGTACTTAATTTCGGGCCAAAAATTTCATCATTTACATGTTTAAATGCTACATGTTAAAATGCTTAGTACCATTTTAGCGTTTCTTTATTGATCTAATCAGTTTTTAGAAGTATGCATGTTGGGTGAAAAGATTCGATCTTTCGCGACAATCGATTTTTTATAGGAAAAATTTATCGAAAAAAACTAATTTTTTCCTGAATTTACTTGTGATTTTGTAACTGATTAACAAAATAATTCTTATTTTATTTTATAAACTGAACATAATGCTCGATAACGAAGTCGAAGATGAAGTTCTCCAAACATGAATGTATTTTAATGAATATATTCGGTAATTTCTATAACTAGAAACAGAGAAGCTATTTTTATTTCTATTCGTATACTGCCTTATATATATGACGCGATTACTAGCAAAATTGCCATGAATCACGCCAGCCAACCTGGTTGGGACCTTCGCTCTAATACCACTCGTATCGGACACAATAGGAGCCGCGGTGAATGTTTACTCATTCGTCACTCATACATATTTTAATACCTACATACATATTTTTGTCACTCATACATATTTTTATTTATTTTTTTTAAATTTAATTTTAATCGTTTGACCAACTCACCTGCATCATGAGTCATGAATAGCGGTTTCAGCGTTTATTAGGCCGTAGGCCTGTCGCCGATTCTTAACATCGCAGAACATTCACAGCTTGTTGCGGTCTCGAACTTGCAACTCACTGCTACAATTCTGCTGTGCTTAACCGCCCGGCCTCCTTGCCGATTCTGACCAGAAACTGGCGCACAGAGCTGGGATCGAACCCGCGCCTCACTGCGCCAATCTTGGTACTCTGAACTTTAACCATTGGGCACCACAAATGTACAAGCAGCTGCGTTTGACACACTCACCTGGATCATGAGTCATGAACAAACAGCTGCATTTGACACACTCACCTGCATCATGGGTCATGAACAAGCAGCTGCGTTTTACACACAGCTGAGCGCAGCGGTTCAAGTTCAGGTTCGCCTGCTGAATTTCACCCGCATAATCAGATGGCATTTCCTGAAGCCAGAAGGCAGACTCCGCTGTAGGTGTTACCAGCAGCAGCACAAGTCTCACGTACGCAACTAAACGCATTTCTGTGATTTAGTGAATTTGTTGTTCCTTACTATTATATTGTGTTTAATTTAAATCTGAAAATTAAAGTATTTATTATAAAATTAAATCATGATCTGCCAGGACCAGGATTTTTTTGTGACTTGATCGCTTGATGCACAACGAAAATGTATGGGAAAAAAACAGTCGACACGAATGTATAAACGAACACGCCGTATTGAAACCAGACAAAATTAGAAGCGTTCCATTTATTAAAGGTTTAGCTTAAATAAGCGACAATTAAAAATAATTTGAATTTATTAAACTCATTCAGTGAATTAATGTTCCTTGTAAAAAATACACTCATATTTTGTCGGGTTTATAACTTTTCCGATCACCTTTGAGTGTCAAGGGTCTTTAGATTATTATTCAATATTCATAATTTTTAGTCATCGGTTCAGAATTGAAAGTATTTTCACAGCAAAGTTCTGGTCATATTAAGTTAATTATATCATACCGAACGTAATCTACCAAATATTTTCATCGGCCATTTCACTCGCTTTCGCTAACGCAAATAATGTATAAGGTGCAGTACTATAAAAAATAAACACCATGTTTGTAAATCCGTTAGCCAATCACTAACAGCGATTCAAGATAAGCTTTCCAATCACAAACAAGGAATCGGCCGTTACGTGCATTTACGCAGCAACATGTACATGAACGAGTTTTAGAAGTACGGCACCAGTTCGACAAATGATGGAATGACAAGGTAAATTCCTTGCCGGTATCACAGACGCCTCTGGCCATGAAGGGAGCGATCTAGTTGGAAGTCTAGCAATGGAGCGGCAGTTGTCATGGAAGTCGTTATATTTTGGCGATCACAGGAAAATTGTCTGAACAGTGTTTGCGCTGGCAAGACATTTTGAAGTCACGCTATGCTTCTCAGCTAAACGATATGATTATCGACTTACAATATTGAAACTAGGATATTGACTTCTTTTAGGACGAATAAAATTTAAAATATCATAAAAAGATATTCTTTTTGGGTTTCCCTTCGTTTATATTCGAAATTACACAAAATCTTGGAATTCGTGACGAAATAAATCAGTATTCACGGTGTAAATTAACTGTCGACCTACACGTGGCTCAAGCCGCTCAGATATTCATTGGTACGATAATGATTAATGGTGATTACCTATCAGTTGGTATGCTGGCCAGAAAGACTCGTGTATTTTAAAAACGAAGCATTTCATACGAGCAGATATGTGTTAAAAGTCCATGGGTTTTACTCCGAATATTTCAGTAACTATTTTGGAGTGCGTGTATGCGAACAGTTGTTACATTGCGGAAACGATATTAGACAAAGTTACAAAATATCAAAAAAATAAATTATCAATAATATATGATGATAATGTTGAAGTTGCTTGCAGCTTACCATTAATACCTAGGCTAAAAATATAAAAAAAATTATCTTGCAGGTGATAACTCAACTGTTAATAACTAAATATGGCAAAAAATATCAAGCCCGTTGCATGGAAACGTACATTTTGATGGGCAAATTTTCGACAATCTTAGCAATTTTCAAACACAGCACAAAAACGCTTCTCAGGAACCATCATTAGAATGGCAAATAATGGACAAATAATACAATAGTTCGTGATAGTTTAGATCAAAAATTTCCGTCACTCAGAAAGATAAATGGCAGGCACACAGATAACTTACCAGTACCTAACATACGTATATTTTCTTTACTTTTTCATATAATTGAGTTCAGCTTTGTAATTAGTTATGTCGGAGCGCAAGCATTAACATTTTAATGGGAAATGTGCATCTGGTGCGAATTATGGAACAGCATAGCGCTTTCGTTAGTTAACTTTATAGCGTTTACGTTTATGAATAAAGTTTTTTGCTTTAGATTTTTTAATTCTAGCAGTGTCTTGTCATTCTCCTTTTTGAATCAACGGAAATTTACGCGTCCTGCATGCCCATTGCACAGTTGGAGTTGGTGCCAACAACAACATTATTGAATTACGTACAATTCAATGTGACCAAATTAAAAAGGAATAAGAACAGAGAATAAAACAATGTATAAACCTTAAAAAATAACGTGTTACGCCCTTATCCAATGTGTTACAAACAATAACTAATCTCCAGTAGCGAAATAACACAGACATTTCCATCACAATAAGTTTCAGAGAAAGTTTCCACACAATTTTTATCCCTGTACTAGTGGCTGCATTGGGCCTTTTAGAAGAGCTTAACTCGATTCCTGCCTTGAATCTAACACTCTTAAATCTTGCTTGAGGTTGAGCTATGACTGGAGACGCACGAATAGAACGTTATATGTTAAGCAATGACATGGTCTGTATCCATTCAAACGCAGGCCGTTCAGGCATCGCCGCCTGCTCAAATAACTAGAAAAGACTCGTGGGCATATATTTTGCAGAAATTAACAACTTAAATCTATTTTTTGGGGGTGGCCAACGAGGCAGGGTGGCCCAGTGGTTAAAGTTCAGAGTACCAAGATTGACGCACTAGAGAGGCGCGGGTTCGATCCCAGCTCTGTGCACCAGTTTCTGATCAGAATCGGCAAGGAGGCCGGGCGGTTAAGCACAGCAAAATTGTAGCAGTGAGTTGCGAGTTCGAGACCTCAAAATGCTGTGAATGTTCTGCGATGTTAAGAATCGGCGACAGGCTTACGGCCTAATAAACGCTGAAACCGCTATTATTTTTATTTTATTAATACTTTGCAGTGGAAGCAGCTGTCTGGTAAGTAACTATGTACACTTCTAAACCGATTTCAATTAATTATATAAAATTAGCCGTCCCCCAAAAAAATATTCTGGAGTCGCCTTCTGCAATAGGAGCCGTCGTTCTGTGATTATATGTCAATCAAATGATATTGCAGCATCAGAGTGAACAAGGAAAAGAGTTTCCTCGATTCATTTGTTAGGGACGTTCTTCAGTTATCAAGCGAGACTTTAGAAAACGCATCAATATTTAGCAATTCGAGTCACGGCATGCGTGAGATGAGACGTCACATAAAACTCAACTAATCAATGTAGTTCTAAAATCATTGTACCGGAAATTGTAGCGTGAGGTAGACACCTGAGGCGATCAGGGTTGAGTTCCCTCTGAATTTCTTCTTTAATGTCATTTTCATCTTAAAATAAAAATTGGCATCTTTAACACTGTTACGTCGTTTTTTACAGTTGATTTGTTCCCGCTATTTTATAATTTCAACCTCGATAAGTTCATCGCGTACTCTAGAATATTGTAATCTGCAACATGAATGAGATCATGAGCTTCCATCTGCAACAGCGCTGTTTCCAACTTGTGACCTTCTGCGGTTTTTAATCTATTGATTATATATTTCCTATATACATGCACGGAATAACCAGTTACAGCAGTTGTGATCGTATTCACAGCAGTCGTAAATACGATTTGTAGCATGGAACTCAAAAGCTCGCACTGGCGAGTATTTAATAATAATAATAATAATAATAATAGCGGTTTCAGCGTTTATTAGGCCGTAGGCCTGTCGCCGATTCTTAACATCGCAGAACATTCACAGCTTTTTGCGGTCTCGAACTCACAACTCACTGCTACAATTCTGCTGTGCTTAACCGCCCGGCCTCCTCGCCGATTCTGACCAGAAACTGGCGCACAGAGCTGGGATCGAACCCGCGCCTCTCTGCGCCAATCTTGGTACTCTGAACTTTTAACCACTAGGCCACCCTGCCTACACTTACGTTGAGAGCCACTACTTCAAGCTTGAGATTCAAATAAATTACTTCGAGCTGTTGAAAATAGTTATGAAGGCCTTATTGATTCATCTAGTATATCAGTCCTGTACATACGAAAATACGCTCTTCCATTCTCATGAATAAGTCACAACAGTGGTTAGGATACCGAACTTTATTAAAGGTATACCGTATCAGGAAACGTGGAGTTTTCTCACGTTACTCCTTACTTTTCAGTGACTCCTAAATATTGTCATTTTGGCAGCTGGCAAATGAAATATAAGTTCTTCAAAGTCATATTTAATGGCGGACCCAGAAGAAAAGGGCATAAATACGCACATGAGTAAAAAATACTGCACGATAATTCCCGAACAGTTCTTACTTGCAATACGAGAAGTTCGGGCATTGGTAAACGTTAGAAAATAAATTAACATTCATCTTGTTAGTTTTTCCCGGCAAAATGCGTGACTCGGCCCACTGCGAAGGTATCGGCAGACCCCGCAGTAATGGTAACTTTAAATCCCATTCGAGGTCCAGCCGTTCAAAATTAGTTAGCCATGTAAGTCCAACTTCTTGGACGAATCAGACGCTCTTTCGAGTTCCTAGCTGCAGGAACGATGAAGCAGTTGTTTGTTGCTGTCGTGCGCCCGAACCTAGAGTTTGGAAACGCCGTGTGGTCATGGAGACTTGAAAGGGACAAATATTTAATAGAGAATGTTCAAAGACGTGCAACAAGAATAATTCCAGGCTTGAAGGGAAAGTCTTGTGAAGAAAGATTAGAGATTATGAAGCTTCCAAGCCTCAGTTATCGACATCAGAGACCTCATCGAAGTATACATGTATACACATGGGTTTATACAAGTCTGGGAAAGGTTACTACTAGAATTTGAAACATGAAACAACACCAAGGCCCACGACTATAAATTAAAAAAAACTTCGTTGCAACTCAGCCACGCGACAACATTTCTTCTCGCTTCGAAATGCCGACTTGTGGAATAGCCTCCCCGATTACATCGTTGACTCTCCGAGTATATAAGCGTTCAAGAAAATACTAGATAAAGATATGGTAAAATATTAAATATATGTTCAGACTTGAAATGCCTAGCACGTTAGCACCATATCGAACCCGGTGAAAGTCTAGTAGCTATTTCAAACTATCGTCAGTCCTGAAAAAATCCGGTCAAAGGACATGCTTTTAGATCGTCTGTGAACAAGTCACAAAGAGTACAAGAATCGACGACAGGCCACAGCAGGCCTACTCTTCAGCTCCGACATCACTATGTTATGTTTGTTATGTAATAGTATTTTAGCACTACTAAAAAAACTAATCAGACCGAAACTCCCTACGGTGAAAAAATTACCCTTAAAATCAACATGGTGGCGTTCCCAATGCCTACATGTAACCAATGACAGTGTTCCAGACAGAACTCACCACGTCAGTCATCCGCAAATTGGTTTGCATAAGGTCAAAATATCTACAATAAATCTTCAGCAAAGTCAATTTAAAAGATTTGACCCATGATCAATCATTTTTATATAAAATAAAATAAGATTTGTTAAGGATTTCTTCATGCACTTGAAATTTTTTAGGGTAAAAAGGTGACGCTGTAGTGAGTGCCCGGCTCGTTGAAAGAGGAAAAAACGCAAACGAAAACTCACTCTAGTGAGAAAATTTCTAACTATATCCGAAAACTAATAAAAAATATTTATGAGTATTTTATAAACAAAATTATTGACTTTGAAGTTGTAAACTCTCTAGATCGTGTAGGTGTTTCATTGTAGAAGCTTCATAGTGAAATGTCTAAGTAAGACAAAAGAGGTCGCTACAAGTCGTACGTAAAGTTTCCATCCAAGTCAAATAGTTTCGAACGATATACTATACAGATCACAACAAAGTGAAAAAACTGTCAGTCGTCGGCGGTGGAGTCGCTAGCGATAATATTTTAGTGCGGTTTCTAAATCAATAGTAATCATGGCACACAAGGTAGGATTTTTAGCTGTTTAATGAAGTAAGGTCACTCTTAATTGACTTGCTGAGCTCTTTTTTTTTTGTTCTAGTCTAGCCGAGGTAATTCTATGTGTTTTATATAGAGAAGCTTTTGAAATTGTTTCATGCTAGAACCTACAGTCATTGCATTAATGCTACTAGCTAGCCTAACTTTGCCAATTTTTTTTCTGGTTATCGGAAGAAACGCAATATTTTATCAACTAGATTTAGCCATAACTTTATAGCAGTGTCAAAAAAGCTACCTAATCTTGTGTCATTCTAATCTTACAAATTTTAATTCTGACCAACAGACCAAGTGACCACTGACCAGACCAGTATTAATTATGTGGCTTTACTTGACAAGCGGCTTTAGGGTAAACGCGGTATATTCGGTCATTGTGGGTAATTCCGTCGCCTCTCTTAGAGGCATTAGAATTCTAGAGGGATAATAAATTGACCAGTACACATAGCATATTGGAAAGCAGGACCTGAAAGCTTGGAAAGGCCAGGAACTTTACACTTTCAGTCCATTATTTACATATCCTATCCCTTTCCAGAATTTCATTTGTGATTGGTTTGTTATATTAGCCACTTTCAGCTTTCCAGCTTTGATTGGATAATGGAATTGTAATATTATCTGCTTTCTAGCTGTGATTGGTTGATGGAATTGCTTTCAAGCTGTGATTGGCTAATGGGGATGCTTTCAAGCTGTGATTGGTTGTGCCCATAAGCCCCGCCCCCAAGTATGATATATGTACTACAGTACTGGTTAACTAAATACTTAATTGAAACTTGATCATTACAAACAAAAGGCCTGGAAATTTTTTTAAAAACCCATTAAATATGACAAATAAAAAATATCTATCAAACATGAGATATCCAAATAATTCTATTACAAACCTAATGTACCTACTATACAATTGAAACATTTTGTCCACTTTTGATCCTCCTTTTCATTTATAGTCAGTCTCCTGGCAGGCTGGTAGAGCACTGTATCAAGGAAAGCTTTTCACCTTGGGTGGAAAGCTTTTTTATAAGTGAACTTCCATTCTTAGAATTCCAGCCTGCGCTCTCTAGTTTTTCCTTTATATTAAGCTTTGTTTAAGTTCCATGCGTTTGTTGATGGTTGAAATGGTGACGTCATACATTTGCGCGTCAAACTAATGCCAAAACACTAGGTCTTGGCCATCTAGTGGGAAAATATTGAGATCCAAAGAGAGACAATGCATGCTATCCAGTGAGATCATCGAAAAATGTGTCAAATTTGACAGTTGACCTTGCTCTACCAAATAGTGCTGATTTCAAGTGGTAAATAAATTAATAGATGATTAAGTTGAGAAATGGATTTAGACACATGAAAACTAATTCCGTCACAACGTGAATTGGACACACACAGATCGTTCCAAGCTATGTACAAAAATTAAAATTTGCTTAATTAAAAGCTTAATAGTTGTTAATTAAAAGCGTTAAAAGCGTAAGTAGTGTTCAATATTCATTAGTGTTCTAATTCAAAGCCGTGTTGTATTCCAATACAGCTCACACAGCAAGCGGAATTCGAACACGTGGATGATGGCATTACGTATCAGTAGAATTTGAAGCGTGGACGGAATACGCCTCAACATGTGCCGAATATTGCCACACACAGTGACGGAATATAGGGATTTGGTAGGTTTGCATTCTAAAGGCTTTTACATAAATATGGCAACATTTTGTGACGTTTCATCATTGCCGACGCGTACTACGGTGTTTTGAGAGTCACCTAAAGCAAACAGAACTTGAGTAATGCATATGGTTATTTTTGTATAGTTTTTCATTTCTCAATGCGTCCTTAATGTGACGGAATATACCGCGTTTACCCTACGGGCCGCAGGGCGAGTTAGGTAATTGTAGTTAGCACTTGGCAAGTTGGCAGTAGCAGTGTAGTCAGGAGGCTGTAATTGGTGAGTGGTGAGAAGGAGTTGCAGCTTATGGATCATTGTCAGTAGTGCCTTATGGCCCTTATCTTATTTTATTACGAATTCCACAATTCAGCTGCCAATTAATGTGAAGCTAAGAAATGAGGTTTCATTTCTAATGTCTTCTTGATGAGTAATTCTTTCCTTGCTGCATATTTTTTCTGTTCACAAACAACTCAGAGTCAGAAATGCTATTAAAAAGATGTTCTGTGCTCGTTTGGTAATCCAATTTTTGGAAGTGGTGGAACTGTGGAATTGTAGGAAGTGGCTGGCAGGCATGGATTATATCTACTTGGCAAGGCCGAGTCGTGACTAGATTTTTCGATCCCTGGCTTCATGGGTCTGCCAGCCAGGTTTCCAATTCTTTGAGCCATGGCTTCATGGGTTTGCCAGCTGTGAATTCCGTATCTCGGTCGTGAAAAACCATTTATGACCCGCAAACTTGTTATTTACAAAGTCCCATCACTCCCATGCATAAAAAGTCCCATGTTATTTACAAAGTCCCATGTGTCTTAACTTTAGTGGCAACAGTACAAGTGATATCAGGATGGCCATTCCGATGTAACTGCAACTACGCGATCTTCATGGATGAAATGTTTTGAGTCGACTTGTTATTACATCCTGCATGTTATTTTGGTGGGAGGTGGAGCATTGAAGTATATATAATATATACTGTGGATTGCGGAAGTTGAAAATTTTATTAAACAACATGTTTGCAAAGTGCAAACTGCAATTTTTTCAATCAAACAAAAATTTATGACATTAGAGCTGCAAGATTTCAGACAAAAATAAAACTTTTCCAGCCCTGGTGGCTGGTCATTTAGATCCAAGACTGGCAGAACGCTCCAGTGTTACTCACTAAATTGTTAAGGGTGTGGCACTCATAATTTATTGGCAGTTTTTTGGGTCCTGGAGTGCTCTAGTGCACTGCCACTCTTGCCATTTGTATAGTACCATAAAATGGGGTCTTAGACCACTTTCTTTTTTATAAATGATGCCATTTTTTTACTAGCTAAATTAAACTTGAATTGAAACATGCAAAATACAGGTCTATACTCTAGCTTCACTCACCATAAATTGCTGGCTCCTGCCTCTCATAGTCTTTATGTAATCTCCAAATAGTTCTACTACAATGCATCCAAACCTGGAGTTATTTAACCAAAAAATAAAAAAATTGGAGGGGGTACTCAGACAGGCTTTAAATAATAGCTTTTTTCATGGATCACATATTTAATTTTTTAACCTATTAGATATGCAAACTTTTCAAATCTTTCTATTGTGTTATGTAGCCTCAGTATTAGGCCTTTAATGCCCATTGACAAAATTTTTCTATGTCAAATAGTTTTTGAGTTGTGGGGGTTTTTGTTACAAAAACGAAAAGTGGTCTAAGTTACCCCACCAGTCTAAGTTACCCCATTTTACGGTAATATATTTTACGGATGCAAACAACGTGGCTTCATGGTTGTTGATTTTAGGTAAAATTTAAGAATTTGTTGTTTCAAGGTTTATCTGGAAACTGTCTACTTCACTGAGCTATAAATGGATTTGCTTCTGACATAAGTTAGATGAATTTTTCTGGGAAGAAAAAATTTCTGAGAAGTGAATATACTTTTTGGGCAACAAATCTACCTTCAGGTCTACAACAAAATTTGCATGGACAAATTCACTAAGTTTTGAATATTATATACATTAGTCTGTTACACATATATATTGTGGGCCTGTTATTTAACAGTGCAAATAGGAGCAGGAAAATTTTCTTGTATTGCTCAACTATGTATTTGATGATGCTGATTATTTCATGATTGGTAAGGAAAATGCTCCTATGGAATGTGTTGTTATATGTGATTTTCTTCATGGAAACTAGGCTAGATCATTGGTAAAGTTCCCATGGTTATTAATTTAACATGTTCACAGATAATTCAGGTTTTAACTCATTCAAGAGCTGCTTCTGCTAATTTTGTTTGGCTCTGTGTCATCAGAGCAACTATTATATTAATTAATTACAAAAAAATAAATCAGTACTCACTACAGTGAGTGACAGAGAGTGCATTTTCTTGTTGGCAAAAACGTGAAGTCACGGATGGACAGACAGACATGGCAAGCACAATAGTGCATTTTTCCATAAATGAGAAAATGTGCTAAAAATTACCATTTTTAGTCAGTCATTCATGAATGCGAACAGCAAAAATTAAATTTCTATTTTGTTAACACAGGTTAGAGCTGGGAGATTTCAGGTTCAATTAAATGTGTTACTTCAGAGCTACACATTTTTGTTAGTATAGATCTTTTACTTTTAGTCTCCTCTTGAATGTATGCATTGCCACCCTGAAAATAGTAGGTTAATGTTTACTTTTACAGCCCGGAGCTTATCACCTCAGACCACACATGTTTATCAAAAGGAATACCATCTAATGATGACGATACATTACTGATCTTAATTGAGAATTTAAATGGACAAATGGGACAGACATAATTGAGGCAGAGGCAGATGAGTTAGGGGCTGAAGAATTTTGTGCTCATGAGTCAAGGATTTATGAGGTTAGGTCAAGTTTCCTCAAGAGCTGATAGACTGAGTGCAGATGTGTAATAAAGACACCTGTTTTGCTACAGGTTGCAGGCCAGAAGAGTGGCAATGCAGCTGCTTCCTCCACTGCCGCTGCTTCATCTCTCAGCCTGGCAACAGTTCTCCACAACTTCCAGGTCGATTACCAGAAGAACACACCTAAGAGACTCAAGATGGTTGATGCTTACCTGCTATACATACTCCTGACCGGGGTCATTCAGTTTGCCTACTGCTGCCTGGTTGGAACATTCCCTTTTAATTCGTTCCTCTCTGGCTTCATCTCTACTGTTGGATGCTTCGTTCTTGGAGGTTCGTTTATGGAAGGTTGAACTAGTATAAAATTGACCCATGAGGAGCTCATTTTTGCGGATGTAGTTTGTTGCTCGCATGTGACGTCACTGATCTCAGTGACGTCACGGGCATTAACCAATCACCGAAATGCAATCAAACCAGTCAACCAATCCGTCATGGGAATGACGGGATTGTTTATGTTTCTCGAGCTCAATGACGTAACAAGAAAGCTGAACTGTAAGACGGAAATCCTCGTGGGTCAACCTTATATAGTAATTGAACCATGCGTTTATTCACTGCATGTTATTAGGGAGACTGGGATTTGTTTCTAGAAGCTCTACATAGTATCTGTTGTGTGCTAGAATGCCAGCTCGTTTTACACTTGCGAGTCTGTTCAGCTATCTGCTATAGTGAGCCTGTTGAACTTTTGTCAGTCGGTAAATACTTTTTCTAATCTGTTCTATTATTGTGAATTTGTTGTGCTATTTTGTGTCTATTATAGTAAGTAGTGCCGTTGTTCATCCGTTCTACTGAAGTGAATGCATTCAGTCGTGACGATAATGAGATGCTAACGTATATATAATCTACTTACCTACCAGAATAATACCGGAATAATTTCTTAATATTAATTTGCTAATACCGGATGATGTGATGCTAACGTATAACTAAAATGCCACTAACGTGTCGGTAATATCTCGCTTATGTGCCGCTAATAAGTCACTTCCAGGTCACTAGTGTTCAGCTAACATGTCACTACCATGTTGCTAACGTGTCGCTTGCTGTGCAGTGTGCATACGGCTGCAGGCTAACCCCCAGAACAAGCAGCAGTTCGACTCCATCTCTCCCGAGCGCGGCTTTGCAGACTTCATCTTCGCGCATATCGTCCTGCACCTCGTCATCGTCAACTTCATCGGCTGACTCTCCGGCATCGTTTCCTTTGTATTGTTTTTGTTTTGGATTATGATTTATTTATCATTCCAGTGTTATCCAACTACAGAAATTGTTCTAAGATCACTCCAATTAAATTCTTTGTCGTTAAAACACCTTTCTTGAGAACATTTAGAAATATTTTCATAGTATACATCCATTGTTCAAGATTGCCTCACGGCCGTTGGTTTTCTGTCTTATCGGCATCAAATTGAGATATTTTAAGGACATCTGGAAACGCTAATTTTCTTCAATATTATATTCAATGTACGAAACTACGTTATTTTTCCTGAGAAAGTTATACAAAATGTGCAATTATACTTATCTCCGCCAATATCTCAATAATTTTTGCTAACATCGCAATTTTGGGTTGACATGCGAAGCCGTGAAGCCTGGTATCGAGTCTCCAATAATTGACATGCAGTTACTGTGTGCAGGACAAGTCTGAGCCTTTAAAGTTGTGGTGTTCCTGTGCTTTTATCAGGGAGTTGAAGTTTGTTAATGCTGTATTTTTATTATCCTCAATTTTTTGTTTTTAAAAACGTATTTTGTAACTAGGAAATGTCGAGAAAACTCCGTGTAATTTAACAGAGAACGAATCGGACCTAAACTTATGCTCGGGAGATTTCTCATTATTGTAAAAAGAAATTCATGGATAGTAGAAGGCGATTTTAATATAAATTTATTTAGATTGACTGGAATCGGGGAGTGTTTCTGGTATTAGTTCAGTTTATAATTAGAGCGCACAACTGCTAAAATGTAGCACTACAAGTCAGCTCGATCCCTTGGTATCTGCGCAAGAGCCGACGCTGAATAGAAAAATGGTACCCATATACGTTTATTGCAAGCTTCCTTTTCAATGTGGTTGACTACCAATGCATGACCTGGCATGTTTTGGAAACGATGGAAATCATTCGTGGATGGTTTATTCTCGGAAGATGAATTTATTAACGCTCATTTAAGTCATGAGACCGATTCATGGAGCACAGAATGGAATTGATATATGTGAAATGGATAAAGTAGTGTCCGCGCTGAAGAATAGGCTTTCCTAGCCGTTCAGCGATGCTGAACATGGCCGGATTTTTGCGTCTAGCTGGATCTCGAACCCTCAACTGCTGGGTGTCCCAGTGGTTGAAGTTCAGAGTACGAAGATTGGAGCAGAGAGGTGCGGGTTCGTTCCCAGCTCTGTGCGCCAGCTTCTGGTCAGAATCGGCAAGGAGGCCGGGCGGTTAAGCAAAGAAAATTTAAAGCAGTGAGTTGCGAGTTCGAGACCGCAACAAGCTTTGAATATTCTGCGATGTTAAGAATCGGCGACAGGCGTACGGCCTAATTAACACTGCAACCGCTATTTCGACGTCAGGCCTATTCTTCAATGCCGAAGATGCTATACGAACTCATTGACTGCAATCTCGCCCGACGAACCGCCGTTAAGCACTAGTGTCTCTTCAGGCTTTTTCCAAGCATCGGTTTGAAAACTTCAACAACATCGAAATAATCTAACTTTCCAAATAATTGATGTAAATCATCAGATAATTAGAACATTAATAACCGTATTCAGCATGTGCTTGTGCCCGATTAGTACACTTCAATCGCCATGAGTACCAAGAATAATTCTATAAAAAGTTTCCATATTGTTGAGGACATATTAATGTTTACATTTGTGACGAGGCTGGTTATTTCTGGCTCGGCAGTAAATATTGAATTTCAGTTTCCAACAGGAACAAATTGAACTGGCGGTTTTGACGGCACTGCGTGATTTTTTTCAGTGCAATTTAAAATCGCTTTAGAGTTAGAAAATCATATACATCTAATCTGTAATAGTGTAATGCTTCAGCTTGATTATTGGAACCAATTCTTCTTGTGGTAATTTAATAATATCATATCAACACAGTTATGATGGCTGGAGAAACTAGAACGCTTTGGTCTTCAGCAATAATAGTTCATGAAATTGAGTGTTAATTGAATGTCAGTGATTTATTTACAAGCCGAAAATGTCAAAAACAAGAATTTCATCAAGGTTTGACCGGTCTATCATCTTTCCAGTTCCATTTAAAACATGTCGTCCAGTTATTTTTCTATGCTGCGTCCCTGATTTCACTTCAGCAATTTTCAGCCCAAAAACAATCTTGGAAAAATAAACATATATCTCGTTTATGCAATTAAAGCATAGCATAGCGATCTCGGCATCAGATGTTAGGCTTCCACAGCCTGTTGCCGATTCTGTTGTGCCTGGTACTCGTTTCTTGGTCCATACTGACTGCTGATCCTTTGATCAGCTCTAATAAAGGTGGGAAGCTCGTCTACACTGTAGACAAGGTCCCGCATAACACTGTCCAGTCTGTTCTTAAAGGCATCGATTCTGTGCTGTTTGTAAATTAGTAAAACAGTCAAAACCCTCAATAGACAGTTCAACTGGCTGAATTTCTGCAACAGGATTCTTGGGTAAAACTTCTGTCACACATATCACATCCAAACTCTTGCTTTTTATTGTGGCTAAAAGTTCACTTCTTTTATTAATCAATGAGTCAGCATTTGTGTAAAAACACCTTAAAATAGGAACACTGTTAAAATTAAACCAATCATCAATTAAATTAAAGTATAGAATAATAGCAAACTTCCAATAAAAACAACGCATTGAGATGTACCGCATCAAGGTGACACAAACTTTTTCATTGCGCGTCTTAATCCCAATCTGTTGTTCTTAATTTATTAGGATGTATTCCGTGATCCGCATTTACTTTCAGCGCGTTCTCGGATGCCCGCGACACGTGCTTGAGAATTCTGTGCCGGTAGATGCTATTGCGTTTAGGTTATATGTTTGTTTTCTCTGAACAAGAAATTTTATCATAGTTATTGAAGAATGGAATGTGTTTTAGGTAAGTTTTTTTTAAGAATTTTCATGCCAGCCTGTAAAATTTTGCTGAGTTTTTCAGAAACTGTTAGTATAAATCATTGTCTCAGTTTTCTCTTATTACAGAAATCTTGCCTCTCCAAATTGACAAATTTTCAGAACATTTGTAATTTTGTTGCCCCATTGCTTACTTGTATTAACATCTAGATCTGGGGTAATTCATCTAGTGGGAATCAATCATTTCTAAAAATGGCAGGAAAGCTCACGTTGTGGCTTGAGAAGCATATACCTACCTATATTTCATGCCAGGCTCCAAAAAAAGCAGCAAAGCTTCAATTGCAGCTCAATTAGCAGATATATTACATGCCAATGCATGTATCAAACCTGAAAGTTTTGCTGTAGATTGCAGTATAAACTTTCCTTACCTTGAAAGTTTGAATGCAATTTATGGAGATGTGAATTGTGATCAATTCACAATTGTCAAGGCTCAAAGCCTCAAGGGTCTCATGGATTCAACATTCAAGGATATTCATGCTAAAGTGGAAATTAAAATTTATCATTTCTATGAACTATGTAGGTACAGTGATTGGTTATACTTTAGTGCTATTCCACTATGCAGAGTGTGCAATCAACGTCGCCAAGATACGAGTTTCCAGGTAACAACGTCGCCGGCATTACTCGATAGTTCTCGCCGTCGCCGCCAAAAGTCTTCAGGATACGTCGCCGAGTAATTTTTTAACAATGAAGCTGCTAAAAGTTCAAAGAATATATCCTCCACTCCCCAGGAACTACAGCAGTCAATATGGCTTCCGCATCGCAACCGATTCCACCATTTGCAGATTGTGCTGCAGCTGTACAGTCTCATCCGACAAACCGGAAAATAATCAAAAGTTATCAATAAGTAAGATTTTCAAATTGTTTCAACAACATATTCACTTGAATTAAATAGTTCTTTAAAAAATCTCAACGCAATGCATTGTAGCGCAAAAAACTGCAGTTTCTACCGCTAAATGAAGACAAGTTTATTTTAATGGCCAAATGTCCACAAGCGATTCTGCTATCGATCTATTTCGCACCGTAAATCAAGGCTTAACATCACAAATGACGCGAAAAGTCTTCAAATCCAGAGTGAATCAAATCTAAAGCAAATCGACTCCTAATATAAAGCAAGTTGTAGCTCTCAGCCGGTCCATGATATGTCTCCCAAACCAATGATGTTATTTACAAGCCACGAACTTATTACAAGGTTGCATGCACGTGTTACCCCAAATAACTAATTTTACCCTAAAAACAGTCCGGTTGTACAGCAAGTGTCAACTGAACAAGTAATAAAGCAGTCTGACCACTCTAATGCGACCGAAACTACGCAATCGAAAAAAAGTTGTTTACATTTTTTGCAGGAACTCATCGCAACTGATTTCCGGACAAGCTTCGCTGCATCGTAATCCATCCAACGTACCGGAAACCTTACTTTTTTTCTAAATAGTTGGCTGAAGACTGAGAAATATATTAAATGCAAGAATTTCAATCTAAATGTGTCGGCAAGATCTTCTGAAGGCGGAAATTTTGCCGATAATGCGTCGCCGTAGGTCTTTAAATCTTCGTTCACTCTCTGCACAGTGGTTGTTATTGATAAGTTTTTCCTGAGCCAATTAATATTTGATCTACTGATAGGCTAGCTGCAATGCAATGGGAATTTGAATATCAGTAGAAGACTTTTTTTAAGAATTTTTCAGCAATATTGGGTAAAAACTAAGGTTTTATGAACAATTTTTGAACATCTACTGAAATATATACTTTTTAGCACATTTTATCATTTATGGAAATTGGAAAAAAGGCACTATTGTGCTTGTCATGTCTAGGCGGTGACTACAGGGACAAACAGGCAAGAAAATGCGCTCTCTGTCACTCACTGCAGTGAGTACTGATCTAAATTTTTCTTTCTTACTTTCAGTGGAAGTAATTGAGCAAGGGCCCTAAAAACAGATATAATTTACTGGAAGAACAAAAAATGTTGTCTTGCTAATTGGTGGTTTCTGCCCAATTTTCCAGAATGAACTGTGATGGCAACTGTGTAACTGATTAGCAATATATATATATATAGATATAGATGTGTATGCAAAATATTGAATGTTTGTCAGCACATTATTTGATAAAAATTTAGTTATACTTACATAATTTCATCTGCTATTTCTAGAAGTGACTTTAAAAAAACATGTATTCAGAAATGTATTTTGGAAAAATCTGCCCCAAATTCCTGTCCAGGGGTTTTTGTCTTCCACATTTCTTTCCAAGTTTCATGCATGGTAAATGTAATATTTGAGTAATGGTTGCTACATTGTTAACTATTTTATATAATCCTTGCAGATACAGAAGGGGATGGTGTCCTTGGACAGTCTCCAAAGAAGAGCAAGAAGAACCAAAATGTAGCAATGCAGCAGCAGAAGCAAAGCATGAAAGTGGCCCCTTCATCTGTCCCTGGCATGGTCCTCTCAGCAGAGCACTGGCCACTGCTGCTTAAGGTTGGTAGCACTCTCCCATTCTGATCAAAGTTTTATCTAACAAATGAACTCGAGCAAAGTGAATTAAACTAATTATAAAAAATTTAAAAATATTGTAAACTTGTTGCTGTAATAAGTTTTGAATTCTCAATTTGATGCTTGTATGATTATGTAAAACTAAATTCTGACCAATAAGACATCTATCTGTTAATTTACACAACTGTCTTTTTTTTTTTTTTTTGGGGGGTTTATACTTTGCTTCTTTGGCAACTCAAAGTAAATTCTTTGACATATGGAAAATTATTCAGTTCACTCATTTCTGTTGCTTTAAAGCAAGCTATAACTGTTGGATTGTTGCTGGCAAACCTTTACAATCTGATATTATGGATTTGTTGACCTTTCCTGTCATTTTGTGATAGAACTTGTCATTTGTTTATCTTCAAGAATTTTTAGAAGTGATGTATACTTCCTGCTCTGGTGCTTCAAAGGTTTCCTGTAATTACCCAGTAAAATATTGGAATGTACCTTTAGTCATGTGTAAAAAAATTTTTTTTTGTTTCTCTACTTTGGTGAGTTGAATATTCAGAGACATTGTGTCTAACTAACTGTAAATTCTTTTTACAGAATTTTGACAAGATGAATGTAAGAACAAATCACTTCACTCCGCTGGATTCAGGCTGCTGTCCTCTGCGACGGCCCATCACTGAGTACATCAAAAGTGGCATCATCAATCTGGATAAGCCTTCCAACCCTTCCTCCCATGAGGTTGTTGCCTGGATCAAGAGAATCCTCAAAGTTGAGAAGACAGGTCACTCGGGCACACTAGATCCCAAAGTAACAGGTGTGTTCCAACTCTGTCTTCATCACCATTATTGGTGTAGAAAGCCCCATTTCATGTGCCGTAAAAGAGTTCTCTTTTGGAGATCTTGCAATAGCCAATGACCTATTCATGAGACGTAGATTGTGAGGCATCAGAGTTAAGTGTATTATATACTCATACCTCGTAATTTTATTTGAATTTTTTTGAAGAGAATTTGCTCATTGCTTTAAACCATGGATTGGCTATCAAATTTCCCTTTAATTTCATAGTAGTGATGTAATTGAATGGTGTGATATTTATTGTTCCTGGAGTGATCAAAGTTTTAATAAATTACTCTATTTTATTGAATTGTAGCTCAAAAGAAAAATGAATAAAAATTAGGTTTGGCATGGCTATGGGGAAGTGAAGACAATAGTTTAACCCATTGCTTCTTTGAAACCCTGATATGAAAACCCTCCAGCGAACTGAGTGATCTAACCAGTTTTACAAGTTAGCAAAGCAATAACATTACTATTATTATTATAGGTATCGATTGATCTTAGAAAATTGATTCTATTATTGTATTGCAAAACTGGGTTATATTGCTATTCTCAATTTTAGCCTACAGAACATAGTAAGTGATGCCATTCTATGGATTGTGAATGGTTTCGTGTCCCTCCTCTTTCTCATATCAATGCTCAATAGGCAAGAGATTTTTTTTATGCTTCATAAGTGAGCAACCTATCAATTTTTTTACAAATTTATTTTGCGTTTTTTGGCCTATTAGTAATCTTGCAAATGCCTTACATTGGTATACTGGGGCCTTTGGTTTGAACATGATAAAAAAATTTTTTGCTTGGGTTAGTTGAGCTTTACTTTCTATTTTCTGTTTATGATACTTTAATGCATACATAATTCTTGTCTCATTTTTAATTCTCATGCTAAATCCTGTAAATATTTTTGATTAGCATCAAAACCTTGACTGCATAAAATTATCCTAAACTGTATTGTTTTAATTGATAATTTGAGTTCTTCATATCACAAAATGATCCAGCAAGTGAATGTATATGTGCAGGTTGTCTCTTGGTGTGCATTGAGAGAGCCACGCGGCTCGTCAAGTCTCAACAGACTGCCGGCAAGGAATACGTCTGCATCTTCAGACTACACGAGCCTGTTGAAGAATCAAGAGTTAAGCAGGTCTGTATCTAACATCATCTGGTTCGATAACTTCTATTCTTCCATCTTTAAACATGGTATCTTATTTTACCCGCCCTTTTGTCTCTCAGAACCTTGTGCCCACATTTTGCCTTTTGTCTGAGGTTTCCTTTCCCACAAATATGTACGAGTCCATTGTTGACAATTCTTTCCAGTACCTTCCCCATACAGCTGGTCAACGCGATGGGGCGGTAGCTGGATAGCTCCAGGGCAGTTTATTGGGTTTGAGGAAGGCTATTACGGTGGCGGTTCGCCATTGCGATGGAAATGCGCGAGATAACGAAATTTTATTGTACAGGGTTAGAAGGGCTGTTATCGCGGTCTAGAAACATCTAGAAAGCCAAAATCTGATCTCCCCTACACAATACGGCTTCCGCCCCCTCAGAGGCACTACGGAAGCACTTATCCGACTCCAAAACCGTATCATAAAGAGCAAAACGGAAGGAAAACGCACCATTTGCGTATTTTTTGACATGAAAAAGGCCTACGATACTGTCGATAAAACCTGGCAACACAGAATACTGCAGTTCACTCATCAAGCCAGGATTAGAGGTAACCTGGCCCTGTACATCCAAGAATTTCTGCGCTACCAATCTTTCAGAGTGAGAGTGGGGGCTACGCTCTCACCTCTATGCATCTAGAACCAGGGTGTGCCGCAGGGAAGCGTGATCAGCTGCATGCTCTTCCTGATGGCCATAAACGGGATCACCTCCAGCCTTCCTCCTAACAGACAGTCATCTCTATACGTCGACGATTTTATTATCTATGAGTCATCTCACTACCTACCCGCCCTCGCACGCCGTATACAAACCGCCATAAACCGAGCCAGTCAGTGGGCCATGACCCATGGCTTTTCCTTTTTAAGTGAGAAAACCGTGGCCATGCACTTTAAACAAAACCGCTCTCAGGAACAACTCCCTCCATTGTTTTTACAGGGTACTCAAATTACCGTATCACCCGTGGCTAAATTCCTTGGCATGACACGGGACGGCAGGATCTCTTGGCGGCCCCACCTGCGGGCTTTGAAGGGCAGCTGCCTCCGGAGGATGAACCTCATGAAGAACCTGTCTGGACAGTCGTGGGGATCGGACAGGCTGACCCTACTTCACCTCTAAAGAGCCATTATCAGAACAAAGATGGACCATCTACCAATACGCAAGAATACAAACCCTTTCTTTACTCACCCCGGTCCACAACGCCGCCATCAGGACATGTACTGGAGCATTCAGAACATCCCCCACTATTAGCCTCTATGCAGAGAGTGGTGAGCCTCCACTCTCTCTCCACCGAATACAGCTCACACTCCAGATGATAGCCCGCCTCAAGCAACTACCTCTATCCCCAACATGGCGCAGCGTTATAACTGAAGACCGACCGAATATTTTCCCGTACAATATCCCGTCATCCGAAGACTATGAAACACTGCTTGCAACAACGCAGGCTCATGTACTAGAAGTCATACCAGTCACATTTGAGGATACCCCTACATGGCGCATCCCAATCAACACATTCTGCCCGGATCAAAACTACCCACTGAAGCAAAGGACACACCCAACCGAGATGAGAAACATCTTTCTCCACCATGCATCTGCAAAACATGCTAACTCCACGCATATTTACACCGACGGCTCCAAGACGAACGGCGCAGTGGGATGTGCAGCTGCGGCCGGCGCAGCGGCGGTGTCAAGACGACTCAGTTCAAGCTCGTCAATCTTCACCGCTGAGCTCGTCGATATCAGCTGCGCCGTTAGCCTCATAGACCAACTGCCCGGAGATGACATTACCATATTTGTAGACTCCAAAAGCGTGGTGCAGGCTCTGAGAGTTTATAACAGCAGGCACCCCATCGTCTGGGAGATCCTAACCGGGCTGGTGCGCCTGGCGGGGGCGGGGAGAGCGGTGAGCGTCTGGTGAGCGTCCTCGGACCAGGCGATCCATAGCGAGTAAGTCCCATGCCGGGACCATTACCCCATCATCAAGGCAAGCATCCGCCATATCTGGCAGGAACAGTGGGTGAATGTGAGGGGGAACAAACTAAGAACAATTAAGGACAAACTAAGAACAATTAAGGACTGTGACTATAGCCAGAAATCCCGGAAGATGGAGGTAGCGCTGTGCAGACTAAGGATCGGCCACATGCGCCTCACTCACAGGTACCTGATCGAATGCCGTCCAATGCCGTATTGCAATGATTGGTTGGTACCCCTGACGGTCTTGCATGTTATGGCGGAATGCCCGAGCCACGGTGATACTCGGCAAAACTACTACCCCAACACTACTGCCCTCAGCCCAAATGAAATGCTATCTAGGATGCTGAGGGAAGTTCCCCGAAGCATCTTCAGAACTGACAACCTTAGACAATTTCTAATCGAGTGTAACCTGCTAACGGATATCTAGCACGGCACCATGACATAGGTCAGACCACCTTTGTCAAAACACCACATCCGTGTCATCACATTACTGGCTGAGATGAAGTAACAGAAGATGGACTGAACCTGCGCCTTGGAAACCGAAAAGCATACACCCTAGACCAGATGGATCAGGCTACGAGCCTGCAACCAACAAAGAAACCTGACCCTGCAAACCGAATATTGCACCTTCGGCGCGAAATAGACGAAACTGATCTGAAGCGCTAGAAACCTCCCCTCTACTACTACTACTACTTCCCACAAATATCACACCCAGTTTCCTGGTTGCTTATTTTCTTGATGACCATCTGTTAATGAAACAATGATCATGAATTATTTTCTATCATACTTTATTTATTATGAATATACATCTCCCCATAATTGCATTGCTTTTGAATGAGATATTATATTCCCGTTTACTGTACTTGTGTACGTTTGTGTGCAGATGATCACCAGATTATTGGGCGCACAGTTCCAACGCCCGCCTCTTATATCTGCCGTCAAGAGACAGCTCCGCATCAGGAAAATTAAGTCTATATCGCTCATAGAATATGACGCTAAAAACAGCTTAGGTGAGTGGTACTTTCTTAGTATATTCATCCTAAATATACTTATTTTAGCTTTGCTGATGACTATTTGTTTTGCTATCAATATCTACCGGTGAACATGGTGTAACATTGAGCTTGTAGCAAGTGTTTTACAATGACAAACATCATGATCAAACTATTGCTCTTGTTTCCCAATATTGCCTCGTGCTTGTTACACTTAATGATGTATTCAATTTACTCGATTTTTCATGCAATATCAGGTTTATTACAATCGCTTGTATTGGATCACCGCCAATGCAGTGTTGGAGTAGCCTTTTTATTGGTCCTTTACTAACTTACTGTGGTGGCAGGCATCTTCCACACGGCGTGCGAGGCCGGTACATACGTGCGGACGATGTGCGTGCACTTAGGCCTCTACCTCGGCGTGGGCGGACACATGCAGGAGCTGCGGCGCGTGCGCTCAGGCCACCACGGTGAGGAAGATGGCCTCGTCACCATGCACGACGTGCTCGACGCTAAGTGGGAGTTTGATCACAACCAAGACGAGGCGGCATTGCGTCGCGTCATCCGACCCCTCGAAAGCCTCCTGACGCAGCACAAGCGCATCATCATGAAGGACTCGGCCATCAATGCTATCTGCTATGGTGCCAAGATTATGCTGCCTGGTGTGCTACGGTACGATGACGGCATCGGCATGAATGATGAGATTGTGTTAGTGACCACCAAGGGCGAGGCCATCTGTCTAGCCATCGCCCTCATGACCACCTCCACCATGTCCTCATGTGACCACGGCGTCGTGGCCAAGATCAAACGGGTTGTTTTGGAGAGAGACACATACCCAAGAAAGTGGGGACTTGGCCCCAAGGTAAGTTCAGCCCCCCCCTGACGCCGTGTATCTCTGAATTTTGAAGGTCTTAATTATATCCATCAGAAAGCTTATTTTATAGGAATCTATTCATGCGAGCTTATTATTTCTCTGATGATATTTTCTCCAGAATTAAACACGTCAGGCGCGAAGTGTTCATAATCAATGGAACGTTGAATAATTCTTGGCAACATGAATTGAACACATCAGCCGTGAAGTGTTTGTAAAAAGTTGAACTTTGAATAATTTTATGTGACTTGAATTAAACATTTTATGCGTTGAGTGTGTATAGCCAGGTGCCCAGCTCTGATTTTTCGGGCATTGATTACCGTAACTGTTTATGTCGGCAGGCTTCGATGAAGAAGACGATGATCAGGGAAGGTTTGCTGGACAAACATGGCCGCCCCAACGACAAGACGCCTCCTGCCTGGATTAGCGGCTACACGGACTACCGCAGCAAGACCGAGACCGGCCCTGGCATTGCTCCTGAGTCTGCAGCTCCTACAACTGTCGCTCCGGCTTCTGCAGCGCCTGTCATCAAATCTGAACCCTTAGATCGTGCCGAGAAGAAAAGAAAAGTGAGTGCAAGTCACTGCTTTAGTTCATGTATGAAATTTCTTCATCATTTGCCTCAAGACACATTAATCGTAGCAACAATTATTTGGCTAACAGTCTGCTCTGCAGAGCTACCGTCAGCAGACATGGGGGTTAAAATTAGGCAGTCTTTTTCTATTAATGCTGTTTAATTTCTCGATCAGGGTTTTAAGCACACATGGATGCTGCTAGTTGAAGTGCATTATGAAACCTTTGATTCTAGAAAGCTCCATCCAGTAATGTAAACTCTACTAACGAGTTAAATTGCAAAAATCTGTCTTTCACTAGAAGTTGGCAGAATATCAAAAAAGCTCTTGTTTCATCTCGCATTTCGTAAAGCTATGTGCCGTTAAAATTCCATTAGTATACAAGTCTTTATTTGTTTTTATTCGTGAGAGAGTTGCAAATTCATTTCTTCGCTCTCTGCATCATCTTCCGCTACACCACCCTGATCCTAGATTAATGGTAATGGTCTCTGTATTGCCGTGTTGAAAAAGGCTTCGATTTCCGCGCCTCGAAGAGGCGCAAGGGCCGCCTATTGCGGTGCGAATAATTATCATGTCAAGTGGGCTTGAAGATATCTTGTACCCACTTTGAGGGTAATGCTTGGGAACTGCCACTGGATATTTTCAGTCTAGTCTTCAATCTATACCCCAATTCAGATTTTTAAATAAGTTGCAGAAAGGAAGTGACATCAGCATGGTTTGGAAATTACGTCAGTTAACGTCCCCATTTTCAATCGTGTTTGTTTCATTTCGTAACAAAAATTTAACTCGTTAGTTTGTATGTGGCCTGCTTTTAGCTTCTGCACTGTTTTTATTTTTATGCACCTAAGCTTTTGTTTCTTTCTGAATATTACCAACACTGATATAACGCTCGTTTCAAATAATTATTTACCGTAAATTCAGTATTGTACAAATGATAACCGTTTGGCTTACAGAGACACGGCAGTGGCGACAGCGGGGCCGCCGCCTCTGACGTGCCGGCCTCTGATTCCGAGAAGAAGAAAAAGAAGAAGAAAAAGAAAAGTAAAACCGAAGAAGCGGAGGTGGCCACGGCTGTGGAGGATGTGGTTAACGAGGTGAGGTGGTGATGCTTCGTAACGCTATTTTGTAGTCTTCAGTCTCTACTGGGAGAACAGTTTAGACAACACATGGTAAAAGTTGCCAATGCTTTGAATGGACGTTGATTATTTCAGCTGGAAATAGGAAGTTCTTGGGGGATGAGAGCGGGTGTTCATTTTTATCATTTGCTCCGCTGTTTCGTCTGATTCGAAATATTTAATCTCAATTGTTTATGGCATTGTGAAAATTTATATTTTTCTAAATGTGATATTGATAAAATAATTTTTTACTACTTTTTTGCAGAACGGCGAAAAAAAGAAGAAAAAGAAGAAGAAGAAAGAAAAGACGGAAGAATAAATACTCATTGATTAATATTCCACAGAAACAAATATTTTCAATCGTGTCCCACTATTGTTTCCTTTTATTTTCTTCGTATTTTTACTATCATTTAACTAATGAATTAATATTGCAGGTTCTTGCTTTCAAACACCATGATGCTCTTATGCGATTACCTCTATTGTTGTACAAAACATTTTCACTTGACTGACAATCATTTGTAATTTGAGCACTCATGGTTTTTTTTTTCTAAGTCGTTTTAATGCGTAAAAATTTTGACTGTTTGGAAAATTCAGATGCAATTTTCATGCTACTGGGCAAGTACCTAACATTTGCTTAGTTTAACGGATGAATATTTGTGTACAAAGCACAAGATTTGTGGTTTTTAATTGCGGTATGTGGTACAGAAGTCTGGTATGTCGGTCTTGTTTCAGCAAGACCGACATGCGCCGGCGTGGATGCATCTTCATGGTCATAAATTAACTGCTTCAAAGCCGTTTTCTACGCTGCAAGACCTAAAAAATTATGAGATACGTTTGTGTTGGTGATATGGTTTGAAACACTTAGCTCGCCCTTAGTCGTTCAGCAAATATTTTAAGTGAAACTTTGACTGATTTTTTTTTGCAAAAAATTCGACCTTTTCAGAAAAAATTTCTGTTATGTTTCTCGCTATGTGATGTGACAGACCAAGCTACATCTTAGAAACATTTTAAAGCAAGTGTACTAACACGAGCCGCATGTGTTTTGAGATAACACTTGGTATTCGGGAACATAAACCGTCACCAATGCCATTTATATCTGAATGTCTGGTGTCGGGAGTTCCGTCAATAGACGGAGGCTCAAGTATTGGCTGGAGCTGACAGTAACGGGGGGCCGTGGACGCTGTGCAGGCGATGCTTGAATAAGTCTTGCTGTCGCCGGCTTTTTTGTTCAACAATAAATGCCAGCGAAGAGATGACATTGTTTCATTTGCCTGCCATGTAGTTGCTACTCATATGTTGACTATATTTTTGTTCCGCTGTTGCGATCTGATGTCGATTAATATTTCTTCAGCGAGTCCTGTGTTCTCGGGGGTCGCCGGGATCTCAGTCGAGAAGACAATATTCTTCAAACTGAAATTTGATCATAAATTCCAATTCTAACTTTGTAGGATTAGAGATGCAGGATTTCAATTTTCTAATGAAATTTGTAACGTATTTGGTGTGAGATCATTGCGCACATCCACCTGTGCGAAATATAAATGCCGTTGTCAGTTACCATTCAACAGCAATGTGTCGATATTAACTTCTTGAAAAAAGTGGAATGCAGAAATAGAGCTTCCCTGCAGTAATCAAAGTACGTGCAAGGAATGCGACAATTTGTTAAGAAAAAAAAAACAGGTCCAAACTAGGCTTAGGTAGGCAGTTCTAAACTTTTTCACCATCATTAATACTGACACATTTTAGTGCATTGTATACGCTTCCCGCGATGCGAAGATAATGAAGAACATATTTCTTTTTACCATTTTCCAACCTTGCCATTTAGTTTCAAGGCGCATAGTAGAAGTTATATGAATTAAAAAATCATCTTAGTACATGAACTACAGTTGAACCATTTTATATACATGTAGCTAAAACTGAGTTTTATTGATCACTTTAATTTATTATGTCATTAAAGATCTAATGTCAATCTCATTTAATCTTGGTTATAAATGTTCTTGAATTTGCAAGGACGATTATAAATTCTCGTACGATGTAACGAACGAGCTGTTGTATCGTAAAGTGAAGTTGTGAATTAGTAAATATGCACACAAATGGATCAGAGACTTCAATTAGGAAGACGTAAACGGATCTGCGTTGATTGTAAATTGGAAGACTGGACTGAAGTACGTGGTGACCCACTGCTAATTTCTATTTGTTGTGTTTATAAAGGATCTGAAAAAAGCAGCGTCAAGCTTGTCCTCCATGCACGCCACCGGTAAAAGGCCTATAAATACAGCGAAGACGACGTCAAAAAAGTGCAGCTGCAAAACTATATTAATAGCTCGATTGCATTAGTTGTTGCGTGGCCAGACGATTTAATAGTGATTGACTAGTGCAGAATGTTTCACCATGGTGGAAAAACTGAACAAGTTCACAATACAAGAAGACAAATGCAACGTTAGGATGATGCTTGTCAAGAAGTAAGCGAAAAAGGATTCGGGATTTCACGTTGACAATGAATGAAAATTTTCTAAATATATCAAAATGCAAGTTGATAAATCAAATAAACTACAAGGACTTATCAGACGCTCCTATGAGTACGGCACTTGCCTCGCAGCACTCGGAGAGCCTAGATGCTGAGATTCAATGAAGCAGTTTGCCGCTCCCCTGCGCCCGCACCTAGAGGTTAGAACTGCGTAATCATCAAAGCCTGACATGAGCGGGAAAATTTGTCCAGAGTGTTTAAAGATATGCAACATAGATAATTTCAAGCATGAATGGCGAGTCATATGAAAAAAGATGAGCGATGTGTTCAACCATGCGATGATTTGTCATCCAATCTCAAATTATTGATTTAGCCGTAGCATGTCACAGATTTATACATGTATAATCAGGTAATTAAAAACTGACATGGTCAATACAAGATCACAGGACAACTACTTGAATATAAAACATGAGAAAACATCAGTAAATATAAACTGAAAAATAGTTTTGCAACTCATCCATGCGATAACATTTAATCTTTATTCGTGTCACCTACACGTGCAACCATGAACCTCCTGGACAAAAACGCACGTTTCGGACGAATACGTTCAGTACTTTGGGAGATATTCGATGTACACTGAATCTGGAGCGCGGCCGCGAGACCGGCCGCGGGTCCGGCCGTAAATTCGCGCGTTTTTGTCCGAGACGTTCAAAGACTAAAGGAGTACAAAAATCGAAATGCAAATGATGTAAGTTATTTTTACATGACGTGTTTAGTTTATGTGATTTTAGCAACTCCTGACAATTTATGCATTACCGTTTAGCGATTTCAAAGGATGATATAATATCGGTACGAATATTGGAACTTTTTATTTAAGAATAGACTATATTTTTTATAAACTGTATCTTTTTGAATGTGCTAGTTCTCTAATTATGATGCCTATGCTAAATTCTCGTTTACAACTGGCATAGTGCGAAGAATGACGGACCGCAACACACCCGAGAACAATGACCCACAGCTCAAATTCGGTAACATCCATCCTCATTGACGTCTAGGTGGCAACTAATGTTCAAAGCGCGCGGTCTCAAACTACCGAGAACAAAAGTAGTGTGAACAGTTGTGCGCGGTGAGGCACTGCAGCAAACGACTCAAAGCGCATGTCGTTGCCACTAGTGTACCCGTCGGGCCTTAAGGCGCGACCGGCAGAAGTCGGCTACGCCGCTGCTTATGCTCACGTCACATGCACATGGGTTGCATCGTTTTAGACATGGGTTGCATCGTTTAGAAGTGTCATCGTTAAAAGTTTTTAAATACTTCTGTGATTCTGCGCGCTGCGTTGTGAATTCTATCATCAGTGACGCAACAATTGCGATGTTGCTCAGGACACGCATAATAAATTTCTGACCGTGTGCAGGACTTAATGTTATTTACCTAATGAGTCATTCGAACATACGAGCTCGATAATGAAACCTATAATAGAGTAGTGTGTGTAATTGCCTGATTTGTGCTTAACACACAGAACTGTGTCGTTCAATTACAATCCCTGTTTTTCTAATCTAATATGCGTTATAATTCGTCCAAATCTATAGATTACATCCTTCATGTTTCAATATATTTATTTTACTAAATACTTATATACATTCATGCATCACTCCGTGATTTTTGAAAAGACCTTTCAATCTAAAAATTTTATGTGTAAAGTGTAAATCTTCAACATTACCCCCTGTTGGCAGAAATATTTTTGCAATTTTCATTATTTTTGTTCAGTGGAATCACAACACAACTTGAAGAACTAGTAAAACCTTAATTTATGGCTTAATATTAATAGTATCCTATAAGTGTCATCATTGAGACTGAATCTAATTATTATTCATTATTGGATTATCATTCATTATTATATATTAATATATATTATATTATTTTGGATTATTATTCATTATTCATATTGGAACAGCCTCCCTGATAGTATCGTTGACGCTCCGAGTATGAACGCCTTCAAGAACAGACTAGACGAAGCTATGCAGGAGCATATGTTCAGTCATAAAATGCCTAGCAAATTAAGGACCAGGCAATAAGTCCAGCAGCTATCTCACTCAATCGTCAGTTATGGAAAGAACGGGTTCCAAAGGCCGGATCCCATGTGAATCAAGTAAGGAAAAAATCAAGAATCGGCAACAGGCCATGGACCTATTTCTTCAGTGCCGACATGTCTATTCTATTCTATTGAACTTATTCCTTTTTAATAACCACCACTTATTATACTGAATTACTATGAATAAGTCAATTCACACACTCCTAAAATCATACGCAAGCTTAATCTCAATAAATAGGCAATCAACAAATCGGATGTTAAAAATTGAAATCTGTTGGTTTGGTTGTTATAGAGCGCATTATGTAGCTCAGTGTATTTCGTGTTGGCTCTGCCTGATGCTGTGTAAGCGTCAGCGAAATTTTTAAGAAGTAAATTTGTCTGCTAATTCGTCTCCGAATATCTTTCAAATCTTTATCACTCTCTGCATAGTGGGTGCTATTCCAGTATTCCATAAAATTGGTCAGAAGCCACCCATGAATTAGATGAAAGCTCATGTACTTTTTGTAAATTTAATCATTTTTCATGACCCCTAGTCTCTTACCAAATGTTTTCAAGAAAATATTAATAAAAATAGTAGATATTTGTTTGAAATTTTTGTAAATTGCCCAAAATTTGTTGGTTTTTACCTGTCATTTAAAAGAAATTCTGCCTGAAATTAGAGTGTGGCTTTACTTAAGTTAACTCATTTAAGATGATTAATAAGCGAAATTTCATTATGTAGATGAACTGTGAACATGATCAATTTCACTCATTTCTGTTGTTATTCCACTATGCAGAGGGTGGATGCAGCGTCGGCAATATATGGATTTTTAAGCCCAAAGCGTCGCCGGTCATTTTAAAGATGCGTCGCCGGGTAATTTTTAATGAAAAGCCATTTACGCTGAGTAATG